CTCGTCATGTGGGACCGCCCGATTGGAGCAGCCAACCCCTCAGGATCCAAGACTGGACCCAGGTCTAGGAGAGTCCTCGCACTGGAGCTTTTCTTTGGATCGAACTCGGTCCTTCACTCGTCTGTACCTTTAAAAAAAAAAAGATTAGTAAACAGTGTCATGTTTGCATCACAGTCTAAAATAAGACAATTAATACAGTTGCTAACATTTTTACTCATTCACAAAGATATATGTTCAATTTTATATTGATTTTAGTAATTTTTTTAAATCTCCGATTTACTTTAATATTTTTGAATTATTGTGCTGGTTGCTTGTGTCATTACCTGCTGGTCCTCTGCTGCTGACTTTCTCAGAGTAAGTGTGTCTGTCAACTTCAGTGTAGGAGACCAGTCTGTGTTTGATTTGTGTGCAGGCCTTCCTGGAAAAACAAATAATTCAATTGAACAAATGTTGTAATACACAAAAGATGAACTTTTGTTATGGAATATTTTCATTACATTCAGCGTCCCACTGCTTTATTCACACATGAGAGTAAAGAGGGACTCATAATCAAAACAAACTGATAGTTCTAGTCTGACAGTGTTGCAGTGTTCAAATATTATGTATATTAACTACAATGTGTGTGTGATGCATATACTGTACAGTATATACAGTATACAGTTTTTTGGGGATCACGCTATCCTTGAGTTATTCCAATCTGGCTTCAAATCTCTCCATAGCACTGAAACTGCTCTACTGAAGGTTTTTAATGACATTTTCATATCCACAGACGCAGGTGATTCTGTGCTGCTTGTCCTATTGGACCTTACATCTGCTTTTGACACCATCGACCACAATATCCTCATTTCTAGACTGGAGCAGTGGGTGGGCATCACAGGGTCAGCCCTTAAATGGTTTGGGTCCTACCTCTCTGACAGAACCTTCTGTGTCAATATCAAAGATTTTAGTTCGGCATCGACCGCACTCCAGTGGGGGGTACCGCAGGGGTCCATCCTCGGTCCCCTTCTCTTTTCTTTATACCTGCTGCCACTAGGTGCTATCTTCCGCAAACACGACATACCCTTTCATTTCTATGCCGATGATTGCCAAATTTACTTCCCCCTGAGGCACAGAGGCACACGCTCTATTCAGCCTCTTCTTGACTGCCTGGCTGACATCCGGGACTGGATGGCTTTAAACTTCTTAAGCTTCAATGAGAAGAAGTCTGAAGTCATGCTGTTCCATCCCAGTGGCTCACTCATTAACCATGACATTGACCTTTTCTCTCTAGCCCCGCTAGAGAAACAAAAGGTGACTAATCTGGGGGTGATAATGGACCCGTCCTTAAAACTCAACAGTCACGTAAACATGATGGTCAAATCCTGTTTTTTTCAGCTGAGACGGCGGTCTAAGCTGAAGCCTATACTCAACAAAAAGAACCTCGAGACAGTGATCCACGCCTTCATAACATCTAGGCTTGATTACTGCAATTCACTTCTGTTTGGAATCAGTCAGTCCTCCATTGCTCGTCTACAACTGGTCCAAAATGCTGCAGCCCGATTTTTAACTGGCACAGGCTATAGAGAGCACATCACGCCAGTTTTGGCCTCCCTGCACTGGCTACCCACTCACCTTCGGATCCATTTCAAAATTCTCATGTACGTTTTCAAATCACTGAACAGTTCCGCCCCATCCTATCTCACTGATCTTCTGCAGCCATATGTCCCACCGCGCTCTCTGAGGTCAGCAGACCAGATGCTTCTCTCAGTCCCAGAAACCCGTCGTAAGCTCAGAGGTGACAGGGCTTTCTCTGTTGCAGGTCCACGACTGTGGAATGAGTTGCCACTGAGTGTCCGGCAGGCTCCCACACTCTCAGTCTTTAAGTCTCGCTTGAAGACCCTCTTCTATTCGCTTGCCTTTAACACGGTGTGATTTGTTTTGGTCCGGTCTGTTCTCTACTCTGTTGGCCATTTTAGTTAGCTTCTGCTGCTATTTGTATCTGTATTTCTATTTTATGTTTTCCTGTTCGCTGTGCATGTTTGTGTTTCTTTTGTACAGCGCTTTGGTTGGCCTTGTTGCTGTTTTAAGTGCTATATAAATAAATTGGTATGGTATGGTATGGTATATGCATCATACACAGTGTGTTATACTGTATATGTATAACACACGTGTATTTATATTAATTATTTAAGATTTGTTTAGTAAATGCTTTAACTGATATTCACTCACATTTTAGTACAATTTTAGCTTCATGTGTGTTTTTCTCTTCTTTTATTCACCATCATTTTAAGTGTGCTTTAATAACTCTGGTTTAATGACGGGTCATGTTTCGTGAGCTGCTGTAATGTCAAATTGACCCGGTCGATCTTGAAAAAACGATGTGTAAACTGTCTCAATCAGATCTAACGAGCTAAATAAAGGTTTAAATAAAATAACATGCAGCCTCCTGACAACAAACAGTCCAGGCTCAACACGGGACCAGAACCAGAACTTTGTTGCTGTGAGTGTTACGGTGTGGGGGTTAGCACGTAGCATAGCATTCTAAGCTAACCACAGTAGTAGAGATGCCAAATCATGAAAAACAACAAAGTCCATGCTCAATAATCCAGGTATACAATCCAACATTTTTCAGTCAGGTCATCTGGACAGTTTCTTTTTTTGTGCTGAAACGTTTCGCCTTCGGTCCGGAAGGCTTCATCAGTCAAGGAAACATGCAACAAAACTGATTCTTCCTCCAACAGCTTACTCCAAATTGGAACAAACCAGTTCTGCTTGTGATAAGATGGTCTCTTTGGTACAGTCCCTCTCCTCCATTGCCGGCCCTCTTCCTTGTTGACATGAAAAAACCAGTTCCAACACACACACAGTTATACTCTGACATTGTTCTGACGTTGTTTCACAAAATGACTTGTATAGAATTTTTTGTTTACTGGACAAAAAGTGATCGGAGTACAACGTCTTTGAGGGCAGATCCTTAGCCAGACTCAACGATGTTCTACGGTGAGCTCCTCCATGGAGGTCCTTCACATTTCTTTATTTTTGGGATTAAGTGAAAACTGTGCTTTGCCCAAATGTCTCCCCAGTTGTAACATCTAACCAGCACGAAACAACCATTGAAATTTACTTAAAGGAAAAAAAAAAAAAAACTCGAGAAAATTAACTACCGGTAAACTTCACTGTGTCTGTACCTACTGCTAGAGGCAGCCTCCCAACATGGAGGACGTACCGGAAACGCCCCTGATTTGACGTCACATGGGAACTATGTATTGTTCTTTTGCTTTTTTCCTTCTCATTCATACTAATCAAGTACGGCAAGAAGTGTTGTGATTTTAATTAGACTTTATTGTAAAACTGAAATTGTCCTGTTATATTTGATAAAATGTAATTTGTGTGCTTGCAGGTAACGACCAGTTGAAGAAAAAGGCCCTTGAAGCAGGAAAGGGACAGGACAGTTGGCCTTTGAAAGGACAAAATGTAAAGATTCATCTTAAAACACACTTGATGGATGGTACGCTTGTCGAGGAGCAACAGGATCTGTGTTTCACTCTGGGAGATGGTGATGTTATCCAGGTACAAGACTTTCTCTGTTAGAATAGTTGTGTTGTTTGTCTTGTTGTTGTTGCTGTTGTTTTCCCTATAAAAGCTGTCTTTTCACATATCATCAGTATAACTTAATACAACTTGTTTCCATATAGGCGCTTGACTTGACCGTGCAGCTCATGGAAATGGGAGAGAAGGCGCTCATTCAGACCGATTCTAAATATGCATATGGTGCACGGGGAAGGTAGGAAGATGTTTTTAAATGGCTTTAAAGCCAGTAATTGTTGTTCGATAGGTTCTGTGTCTTTTATCAACCTTAAAAAACACTACTTGTTAGGAACATGACTTCCATAGCAGCATCAAATCGTTCCTAGTCTGTAATTGGGAGCCCCTCATGCCAAGAGTGGATTTAAGGATATGTTGACTTACACTTTTAAACCACATTGCTCAAAAGCAGACAAATAAATCTAAAACTAAAACAACTGAAGGCACTGCTTCTCACTAACTATTTAATCAAACGAGAAACTGTTTTCTTTCACTTCAATAATCCCTAAAAATTCAGATTACCGGTACACTAGGATCACAGGATGGACATTTTCTGGTAAAATGAATGGGTTTTTTTTGTGTGTGTGGCTCTTGACAGATAAATGCCAGTAAACAATAAATAGGCCTACCAGTAAATAAATAAGCAGTGTGGTAAATAAGGGTTTTTATGGTAATCAGTTTGGCAGTTTTTGTTGTTTACACAAATAGGATATTTTACAAACTATTACTGATTAAACAGCCTCTGTTGTCTCGGCAGGTTGCACATGGACACATTATAGTTTTTAAAGGCCAAAGTTGTGCAGCTATTTCAAGCATTATTGGTTGAAACTGCAAAAAAGAAAATGTCAAGCAGTGTCGAGCTTAGTTTACAGCATGAATTGACAAGAGAGAGACCGTTACAGAGTCTTGATGGTCATTAGTTGGGTCGTGTGTAAGACATCTGACTTTGTTCCCAAAGAAAAAGCAAAGCTTAAAGTTTAATTTTCCATAATTGAATTCTGGAGAACCAGAAGGTTATAAAATTTACCTAACTGAAAAAAAAAATACAATCAAGCTTTACTTTCTTTGCTGGGACATAAAATATTAATTTGTTTAATGCAAATGCCTTTTTGTGTCCTTACATCTATTGTCACATCTTTCTCCTGCTAGTCTTGACCCTGAGGTACCTCCAAATGCTGCATTGTCTTTAGAAGTGGAACTGTTGGAGGCTACAAACGCACCAGACTTGGAGCTGCTGACCCCACCTGAGAAAATAGCCCTGGCCATTAGTAAGAGAGAGAGGGGCAATGTGCATTATCAGCGTGGGGATTATGCATTTGCTGTCAACTCGTATAGCAATGCCCTGCAGATAACAGACTCTAGCTCCAAAGGTGAGATTCACATTAAAGAATCAGGTGTGAGTGTAGTGAGTAGTAGTGAGTGTCTAGTATTTTTACCTTGTTTTATATGGCACCTTGAGTTATTGTTTTAAAACACTACTTTTATTTTGGTTGCATTTTTACTGTGGTTTATTGTTGTCTGTCTAAAACAGGTCTCTCTTGTAAATGAGTCCTCGTGACTCAGTGAAACTAAACTGTATAAATAAAGGTTGAATGAATGAAAAAGTTATTCTATCTTTCTGCTTGTTAATACTTGGTCTGATTATGTGATAATGTATGCAAAAAGATATGAAAAACATTTTGATATAACCGAGTCACAGTTGGGATCTTTTTGATTTTTGTTTTGTTTTGTGGAGCAGTCGACATTAGCCCTGAGGAGGAGACTGAGCTGTTGGATGTTAAAGTCAAGTGTCTAAACAACATGGCTGCTTCTCAGCTGAAACTGGACCACTACGATGCAGCTCTGAAGTCCTGTGTCTCAGTGCTTGCACACGAGCCAGACAACATTAAAGCACTTTTTCGCATGGGCAAGGTACGGGCTGCTCTCGTTCTTTCAGTTTTGTTGTTGTTGTTGGATGATGTTTGGTTTCCTAGTTAAATTCTGTGTTTTTGCTTTAGGTGCTGGCTTTGCAGGGTGAATACACAGAAGCCATTCAAACCTTACGGAAGGCTCTAAAGCTGGAACCAAGCAACAAGGTAGTTTTGGCCTCATCTTGTTAATATTAGTTAAAATTCATCTTCTGACGTATGGAAATGAATGTCCCCTCTTTTGGCCAATAGATGGTGCTGTTGGGTAAAATATAAAGTAATTTGCAGCTGAAGGTCAGTTGTACTGCTGCTGATTCATCATTTCAGAGGATCTGTTTTCAAGTTGTTGCTGTAAATAGGTTCGCCCTGCACCCCGGCCGTATCTAATGCCTAGCCACTGTTTCTGTTCTCCTGCTTATGCAGCCGGGTGTATATATGGTTCTGTGGCTATACAAGGCCACTCTTCAGTGCATATTCTCCTGTGTGGGCTTCTTGGATCAGCTGCAGCATGGTGCTTGTGCCCAAACCTCCTCACTTCTGTCCTACACCAATCTGTCAAAGAGCACATAGGATTTTTACATGTTTTTAGCCAACACAACAATGTAATATAAAGTATTATTGCACTTTGTAAGGCTACTTCATAAACTAATCACTTCAATCATTGACTTGTTTATATCCAGGAACTTAAAGCTTGAAACTAATGTGTGCCATCTTGAACAGGTCTCCCCTGAAAAACGGATGTTAATCTCCCAGAGTCCCTGAATTAATAACAGTTAACTAAAATAAAATAATTTACGCCAAAACTAAAAAAAGGTTAAAAAAACAAAACATTTGGACTTCTATTCTGTAGCCTCTCCAGTTTGTTTTAAAAACTTTTTTTGGTATTTAACATGTCCTGGATGATGGAGGATTTTCACCAGCATGTGCACAAACACTACTTTGCTTGACAAAGATACAGATACTAATAATCACATTTGTATTTGAGTTGTTGAATGAACTAGTTGGGTTGAATAAAAGCCTTGCGTTCGGCCCTCGCTATATTGCGGTTGACTTCCCGCAGTTTCACTGCATCGCGGGTTTTTTTAAACCCGTTTTTTTTTTTTTTTATATATTGTGTGTATTTTATATGCTGTGCAGTACTGTACATTCATCTCATCGTCATCATCGTGTGTAAGAGCATACAAAGTGTTTATGAGAGTGGGAAAGGCTTGTAGGAGTGTGGGGAGGGTTTATAAAGCCTTACAATGTATATAAATAATAAAATAACTATTAACGCCACTACTTGGCAGATTTTCATCTATCGTGGGGGTCTCTGGAACGTAACCCCTGCAATAGGTGAGGGATAACTGTAAGCACTTTTTATTGTTCTTACCTTCCAGACTTTTTATCAAACAAGCTTCTAGAGTCAGTAGAATATAAAAAAATATTTTTTAATTATGCATGTTTAAGATGGTTGCTCTGTTCTTTTTGCTCTGATAATGATGGGTTTTTAATCAATAGCAGGACTTTGACAGACGTAGAACGACTCTGTTGCAGTCTCCTCCGTGCGCTGACAGACTGCATTTTGCCTCTATTTTTACTGCAGCCTTAGCTTGTCACTCCTCCTCTCTTTCACACTTAAATAGACTAGAAAATAACTATTTGTCTGGTTTGTTTGATTTTTCAAAATGAACTGCAGACTTTACATTTCAAGTTTAGATTGCCTTTGACTGTTTTTGCACCTGTATTTGGATAAACAGATTCTGGCTGCATGTTTGTTTAACCTACTTTATCCTCTCCCCTCTGGGACAAGTCATTGTAACATGTCTGGTGGGTAGGTAATTGTACAATACCAGTGACAACTTTCACAAGATGCATCAGTCAAACATTATCCTGTCCATGTAACATTTAAGTTTGTTAAAAAAAATAAAAAAAAACAGGACAGAGATCTATATGCAAACACTAAATAAATCTTTCAGGTCTGAACTGGCAGATTTTTACTCATATTGGTATTTTAGTATTAGATGAGCAATTTTATTGACTTGTAAACAATAGCCCTCAGTCTTTTTGAAGTGCTTCTAGCAAGTATAAATACTTTTGTCTCATATATTGATTTGCTTCGTCACCAGATTTAAGAGCAGTGAAGTGACTCACATCAGAGTCTGTGCTGAAACGATAATTGAGTCCAGATCCTGGAAAAATTGTGTAGATATTTGGGCTAAAAGACACACTTATTTTGGGATTCAAGATGTTTATTTCTTGGAAGATGAACAGAGGAATAAGCATTATTTTTCTATCCTGATGCATGCTCAATAATCCAGGTAGAAAAATCCAAAAAAGTTCAATCTGGTCCTCTGGACATTCACAAAACAAAACAAAGCAAAAAAAAATGTAGAAACGTTTCGTCTGTCATCCGAGAGACTTCCTCAGTCTGAGGAGCTGTTTTCAGCTCAGTCTCTTAAATAGCACCTTCTCAGAGTGGATCAACCAGTTTGCTGCTGACAACCAAAACCAGCTGATCACATGCTCAAGAAGGACCATCAGCCTAACAATGGATCATTAGCACACTGATGGCTGTTTACTATTCACAGAGGGCTGAGTGATACTAGCAATCACAGCATTGTAAGAGTGGGACAGTTGAAACCAGAGGCTTCCACCCCTGTTTAATGATGGACGATTTCTTTTCACAAAGATGGCCTCCTTTACTCCTCTCTCAAACCATCGTTCCTCTCTGTCCAGGATGTGAACATCTTCATCCCTGAAAGAGTGACCGCTGGCCTGGAGATGAGTGTAGACCGCAGAGTCCTGGCCTGATGATGTTGATCTTCTGTGCTGGTCCATCCTTTTGGCCAGTGGCTGTTTAGTTTCCCCGATGTAAGACTGATCACACTCCTGACACTGAACAACATACACAACATTACTCTGTTTGTGCCGGGGGACTGGATCTTTGGGATGAACCAGTCTTTGCCGTAATGTATTTTGGGGTTTAAAAGCCACTGGGACGTTATGTTTAGAAAATAAACGTCTCAGTTTCTCTGATACTCCCTCAACATATGGAATGACCACTGGTCTGGGTCTGGGTTCCTCCTTTTCACCTGTTGGCTGACTGGAGTCCTGTTTGGGTTTCTTCTCTGCTTTCAGGAAGGCCCAGTTAGGATATCCACATTGCTCTAGAGCCTGTCTTGTGTGGGATTTCTCCTTCTGCCTGGCTCCTGAGCTAGTGGGGACACTGTCTGCTCTGTGGTACAGAGTCCTGATGACTCCTAACTTGTGCTCCAAAGGGTGATGGGAGTCAAACTGCAAATACTGGTCTGTGTGGGTGGGTTTGCGGTACACCTCAGTTTGCAAATGTCCTCTTTCCAGTCCCCCGGCACAAACAGAGTAATATTGTGTATGCTGTTCAGTGTCAGGAGGGCTGTGATCAGTCTTACATCGGGGAAACTAAACAGCCGCTGGCCAAAAGGATGGACCAGCACAGAAGATCAACATCATCAGGCCAGGACTCTGCGGTCTACACTCATCTCCAGGCCAGCGGTCACTCTTTCAAGGATGTAGATGTTCACATCCTGGACAGAGAGGAACGATGGTTTGAGAGAGGAGTAAAGGAGGCCATCTTTGTGAAAAGAAACCGTCCATCATTAAACAGGGGTGGAGGCCTACGGGTTCAACTGTCCCCCTCTTACAATGCTGTGATTGCTAGTATCACTCAGCCCTCTGTGAATAGTAAACAGCCATCAGTGTGCTAATGATCCATTGTTAGGCTGATGGTCCTTCTTGACCATGTGATCTGTTGGTTTTGGTTGTCAGCAGCAAACTGGTTGATCCACTCTGAGAAGGTGCTATTTAAGAGACTGAGCTGAAAACAGCCCCTCAGACTGAGGAAGTCTCTCGGATGAGAGACGAAACGTTTCTACATTTTTTTTTGCTTTGTTTTGTTTTTTTTTAATGTCCAGAGGACCAGATTGAACTTTTTTGGATTATTTTTCTTGTGTAGATAATCTTATTTTTGCTTAAACCAAGATGATCATGTTTAATGATTAAACATGCTTGCCTCTAGTTAATATGAGGGCATTATCATCTTAGCACATTATTGGTTTGTTTGTTACACGGCTGCAGGACTTTGTTTACTTCATATCAGGACAACCATATTGATTGACACACAGGTTTGTGACGTTTGAACTGTCCTCTTGCAGTTTTTATTTGTCTCGTCTCTCCTGCACAGACGATTCACGCAGAGCTCTCCAAGTTGGTGAAGAAGCACTCTGAGCAGAAGGGAGCAGAGCAGGCTATGTATAAGAAGATGCTGGGTAACCCTTCTAGTAGGAGCAGCATGCAGAAACCTCAGGCCAAGTTTTCATGGGTGAGGAAGTCTTAAAGAAAGAAAGGCAACGTGTTGCATGTAATGTTAGAATAGTTGAGGTAAATAAGTCTTTGATTGTGTCATGTTTTTAATCCACTCAACGTTTAATTCTTATTTTTGTTCATTTTTTCTACAGGGTCTCAGCTGGAAGTGGCTCTTTGGTGCCACTGCGGTAGCCATTGGTGGTGTGGCTCTCTCTGTTGTCATAGCTGCCAGAAATTAAAGTTGCGATGACTTGACGAGTCAAATGCAGTGAAAGAGTCGGTTAACACTGAAGAACATCTGGCAACGCCTTCTGATCTGTGGTCAAAGGAGATGGAAATGTCAGGTGGTCAATCGCTTCTTCACAGTCACTCTCCTTTCTCTACTATGTTTGAGAATTATACGTGACAAATAATAAATGGTAATATTAGAATACGGGAAATCAATTTCCAGCCTTTTAACTGTAGGTCTATGCACATCCATCACATCGCCAGACACTGTTTTCATTTACTTTTATGGTTTTGTTGTTGAAAGTTGATTATTTGAAATGGAAATACTAAATGAGAACAGATTCAGACCCAAAACATTTAACGATCTTTTTTCATAAATACAACAAATGGCTTTATGCTATGGTTCTTTAGTGTTGGGATAGTTTTAAGTCATTAGATTTTGTTTGTAAGATAATATTTATTATCCGAGATGTGATTTTTATTTGTTATGGTTCAGAAGCTCCAGAAGATGCAAGATATTTGGGTGTGTTAGCTCTCCAACATTTTTTCAACAGACTTTGCTCACACATACACTGACCAAAGTAAAGAAATCTGTACAAAGTGGTGCGATAAAGCAGATCTAGATTTAGTTATTAGGTTTTTTTTCTCAGACATATTAGAATATTACACTGAAAGATAGTTGTAAGGAAAAAGTTTAATGCACATCAATTTGTTTTAGTTAAATAAAACAAACTATATTCATATTGGATATCATGGAATTGAATGAACACCCCTGTGGCATCAAACAGATGTCACTGATGGATGTAGATTACACTTTACTGCAGAGAGATTTCTTCATAGTTTATTACTCGTGTATGCACAACAAATACAGCTCACCTCTGGAGCAGAGATGAAAGATTTTAATTTAATTTCAGTGATTTATGTTATTTTTGATGATTAAGACCAAATGTGGAGCGATGTACTTGACCATAAGTTTGCATGGGAAGTTGGACTAAAATTGTTATGTACTGCTTCTGCTCATTCCAAAACGTAAACGTGAGCATACCAAACGTGTGGTTTCCTCAGAGTATACAGCAATGGAGCCAAAAGTTGTGTAATCTATAAATATTTCCTTACAAACCAATTCATTGGAAAATTTCTTGACATTCCCTGCATTTGTTCAGTTTGAATTCATCACAAATAAACATAAAAAAACTACAGTGTCAGTTATGTAATTTCTAGTTGATTGTTACAAATTAAACATGTTGTTTTATATTTAGCAGGGATTAACTCTGTTGCCCTTTTGTCAAAATGACCCGTTAAGTCTTGATACTAAAACTGGTTAATCAGTTATTTTGCTGTGACGAGAACATGTTTTGCTAAATCTTTGAAAGGCTGTCAACTACCTCGTGTGACTGTTTACATACGGAAAGAGTCAGAGTGACAGATTAGGTCAACAGTGGCAACGTCCATGAAAGGGCAGTTTGTGATTGACAGGTCTGAAAATTTTGATTTATTGGTTCATATACACTCATATTTGTTGAGTGAAGTATATAGATGAAAGTGCTTTGTTTACATTGTGTGTACCAAATTTCACATTTGGAAAACTACTGGAATTCATTCAGACTGCACTATTTTGATATAAATCAAGGCAACCTTTTTTTATTTTTAGATTTCAATTAGTTAATTTCTTGACCATAAATGCCTTTTAAGACAAAAACATTGGAATATTTTAATTTTAAATCTATTTATGACCTTTTCTTCTCAAATGTCCAATTCCTCCAGAGAAGTACATGAAATATGATGCAAAGATCTGCTTCTTTTGACCATAACAAAATGTGCTGAGGAAAAACAAGCAAAAAAAAAAGAACGTCAAAGTTCATGCTCTTTAATCCAGGTAAAAAAAATCCAACAGTTAAGTCAGGTCCTCTGGACAGTTTCTTTTTTCATCCTTCATCCAAAGGACTTCATCAGTCTGAGAAGCCACAACAGAGTCCTATAACATAGTGGGCCAGTCTTATCTAGTGGTCCATCTTATCATCATAAAACTGATTGGCCCACTGTGTGAGTAAGCCACTTATGGGACTGAGTTTGTTGTGGCTCCTCAGACTGATGGAAGTCCTTTGGATGAAGGACGAAACGTGTCAACAACAAAAAAGAAACCATCCAGAGGACCTGACTGAATTGACTGATTGGATTGTTTTTTACCTGGGTTATCGAGCATGAACTTTGATGTTTTGAACCACTTTGGCTATGGCTGCCCCAGAGAAGTTGACATTGGAGAGGGCGGACTCCAGAAACCACCTTCTCACCATAAAACTGGTTGGCCCACTATGTGAGCCAGTTATGGGACTGAGCTTGTTGTGGCTCCTCAGACTGATGAAGTCCTTTGGATGAAAGACCAAAAAAAAAAGTCCAGAGGACCTGACTCAACTTTATTGGATTTAGAATTAACATTAAAACATGAAAATTTACAACAAAAAAGTCACACTAAATGAATTTTGTGTAAATGTTATTATTAATATGACTCTGTTGACTGCAGCAGGTGACTTTAATAACAAGTTTTAATGGTTGTTAGTTCGGTTAACTGAACTTGTAAGCTGCTGTCTGACCTGACCTCATACATCCTGGTTAAGAAAAAGGCCCAGACACGTTTCCTGTTACTCGGTGACGTCATCGCCAGTGAGCAGTCGCTGAATATTCATTGAAAAGCGATGGGACTTCTCGGTTTACGACAGAGCGCGTCCGTCCGTGCGCGTGGTGGGAACGCTGGCAAGATGGCGGCGCTGAAGGAGGAGCAGTGTTACGGACTGTCCTGTGGAAGAGTGAGCAAGAGCAGCAATGTCACCGTCTTTCACGTTAAACTCACTGACAGCGCACTCAGGGCGTTTGAAGGCTTCCAGAGCAGCAAGGTAAAGTGTCCCCTACGGTACCGTGGCGGGTTCGTTGGGTCGCCTTGAAGTGTGGTCCTGGCGGCGGTGACAGGCAGCCGGTGAGGTCAGCCCCTGCTCCGTCTGCCCGCTGCCGTCTTCAAGCCGCGATACCTGGCAGCCCTGACACCCTGACAGATGCCTGTGACTCGGACATTTGTGGAGCTCTGCTACCGAACACAGCCCTGCTGGTTATCCGTTTTATTTGTCGCAACGGTTTTAACTTGACGTCTTAATTTGTCGTGTTCAGAAACACGCAGGGGATTTGACAGATAACACAGGTTGTGTGGGCAGATGTTTCCAGAAACTTTAGGTAGTGAAAAAACAAATGTTTGGCAACCTTTGCTAAGAGCTAAATTAGCTTGCGACTGCCTGGTGCTACTTCAAGTACAGTTGGATATTTAAATTTTGGCTTAACCTAAAGCCTTACATTGACTTATTTAATGACGACGCTGGGAATATTTATTTATTTATTTATTTATTTATTTATTTGGGGGGGGGTGATAGCCAGCATTCATAGGAAAGATTTCAACCCCCCACCCCCACTTAAAGACTCACGCACTCGACTCACGCACTCTTCATGGCTTCAGAATGGCGTCAAACTTAAAACACTGAACTCCCCCTTTTTTGTTTGCAAGTCAAGTGGTGTTCAACAAACATATTCTCTGCTTGATATGTTTTTAAATAATACTTTTTAAATTGTTTGCTTGGCTCGTTGAGCCCCAGAGCTTTAAGCTTGTGTTTGTGGCCATCTAATGTTTCAGCTTCTATAAATATTTGACGGGGACAACCTGACAGGACAGGAGAGGACAGGGGCTTAAATGTCCAACTGCAGGGACTGTCCACAGCAGGACTGTCAAAACGAGAAAACTGGTAACTGGGTGCTTGTAGGGAGGAGTGATTATTGAACAAATGTTAGTGTAAGTCTTTTATTAAACTACTAGTTAAATACTAGTATGCATGTTTGTATAATTATATAAAAATCTAATGAGGTTGTTTATACAAAAATGCAAAGCATGCTAACTGATTTGTATTGCAAGTTATTCAAGTTTAATGATTTTTGTCATGCACTCTTATTACTTGATTTTGAAAAGATGTCTGGCTAATATATTTTATTTAGGGCAGCACGATGGCTCAGATGGTAGAGCTGTTGGTTCAATTCCCGGCCCGGGGCCTTTCTGGGTGGAGTTTGCATGTTCTCTCTGTGCATGCATGGGTTTTCTCCAGGTATTCCGGTTTCCTCCCACAGACCAAAAACATGCATGTCAGGCTGATTGGTAACTAAAATGTCCCTAGGTGTGAGTGAGAGAGTGAATGGTTGTTTGTCTCTGTGTCCCCTGTGATGGACTTTTAAGTTGCGACCTGTCCAGGGTGTCCCCGCCCCACAATAGCTGGACATGGGCACCGGCGACTCCTGCGACTTGAAAAGGAAGAAGTGGTCAAAGATGATGGATGGATATGCATTATTTATAAAGCCAAAGATTTTGTGTTTATGTGGCTGAGGGCCACAGGCACTTGATCAACTAGTTGAGCTGCCTGGTCCCCCATGTCTCAGCTATGTCCACCACTGCTATGACTGTAGACGAGTTGGCCAAAAAAAAGCAAGGACAGTAAAATTGTTTTAGAAACCTTGTTTTTTTTTCCTCTCCGTCTTCATTGTTGGAGCTTGTCATAATTATAGGATGCCCAAGTAAAGCCAGACTTTCTTTTTTTTTTTAAGTGCCTTAAAAGCCAGTTTTGAGCAATCCTATTAAATACTGAATTTTTCTTACAGAAGTCGAGCTGGCTTTTCTGACTGTAAAAGGAAAATAATGGCTTTGACTTTGGTACAACTTTTTTTAGTTGTAAACTTACTAAAGTTTTGGATGCTGTATTGCTGAAGGCTGTATTGTTTTGAAAGTTGACCATATCATTGTGTTTATTCTTATGGTCGCTAATAAAATCCTTAAACCCAGTTTTATCTAAAGGAGGCGACTCAGAAATTAGATATATCCACGTCGAGAACACGACGTTTGGTTTGGAGAAACGTGCTCAAAGCTTTAGTGTGGCAACAACACATTCATCTACATCTGGACGATGTTAGTTAAGTGTTCAAATCTCATTTAGATTTTTTTATGTTTCTTTTGCAGTCGACAGCTTTTTGGGAACTATTTGTACAGAATAGTAGCTTTGTTTCAGTCTATTTTTACTACAGATAAAACAACAATAATACTTGGTCAGCATATAGACGAAATGTGAGAGCCTCACATATACAGTATCATAATATACCTGTAATATTAAAGCTTTAAACACCAGCTGATGCCCAATATTATGAGCAATGGGCTTTTGTAAATATTGGATTTCACAACTAATGCAGGCCTTTTTCAACAAAGGACATAAAAACTCTTAAAATGTCTAAATACAAACTTGCTGTCATGCATGTCAGGCTAACGTTGTGAGATTTGCACTTAACTGTTTGTTTTGCTCTGTTTTTCTACATATTAACATAAAATATTAGACAAATGGACCAATATACAAATTAAACTAGTCTAGATAATTCTGTTAGTCATTTCTAAACAAAACAAATAGGCTCCCATTTATTTAACACTGCATAACTCTATACTTTTCAGTGTAACCTGGGTGGCGTTTTAGCTGGGAATTTGCACGCTTTTAGCTTCCTCATAACTCTAACTCTGGCCAGTACTCGAATGCAGTGGAGTTTCAAGGGGAAGAGTTAAAATTTTAATTGCATCATTGTAGAGTGGCTAAATGTGTGTTTGGAAGAACAAGAATGTCTCGTTAGCATGTTCGTCTCATTTCAGAATAAGCTAACCAAATGAAAAGATGTTTGCTTAGGTGCAACGCTAACTCAACTTTTGTTTGTTCCTTGTTGAGAACAAAGTATTTTCATTTTGTTTCTGTGTATTGTGCAATCAAAGCGGCAGTGGCTCAGAGTATTCACTGCTTCCTGTATGAGACGTGACTATCAGCTGGGCTCCTTTCATGGTACGTTTGAGGATGGCGTTAACTAGAGCTCTTGCTGTGAGACTGGAAGTCGGTCTCTTTTTTTTGTGTGACACGCATGAGGAAATTACTAAGTCTGCAGATTGCCATGAAGCTGAAAGATATGTAGGGAACATACAGTGTCTCTTTTTAGTATACTGTATGAATGAACTGTCATAATTAGCACTGAAAAAATATGATTCAGCAATGTATTAAACATTGTAGCCTATAAATAGTCAACAGTTATAGAAGTATAATGACCAACTGGCAATACTGATATTTTTTGTCCTAATGTGAATTAAAATATTCAATATATATTGGATTTGGCAATAATGCAAACTGTTATGTCCATCAAAATTGGCACAAGGCTTCGTAATTTCTTCACCATAATTCAAAAAAATGTACAAAATTTACTTTTACTGTTTGTCAGTTATGTTACGAGTGCTTTGTTTGGATTTTGTTTGTTATGTTTAGTCTTAAGTGACGGGCAGATTTTTGGAAATGACAGGTGAAAATACATTTAAGAATTTAAATTGTGAAACGGATCATGTAGATAACGTCCATCAGTCGAACAGACTGAAAATCTTTAGAAACCCTCATGCAAGTAAACTTGTATTCTTACTTTGTCACACTGTTTTGTGAACACAACAAAAGCAGGGTTTAAAAAAAAGTTAGTTTTTTTTTTATTGTGAGCATTATTTGGTCTAAAATACTTCAGAATGTGATTTTATCTTTAACATTTTCCGCATTTGATCTTTACAGGAAATTTTCACAAGTACTTTTTAAAGTAATACTTCTGTTTGAGGATGGATGTGAGGTTAAACAGGGGCTTTGCAAACAGCTCAAATGTAGTAAATGGAAATTCCCCAATTCTGGTTTTAACCTGGTCTTCCTGTGATGCTAGAAAAGGCCTCTGTCTGTCAAAAGGTGTAGTCACAGCCCACCTGTTGCTCTTCTCAGTGCCCCTTCTAACCACTAGGTGAGGAGTGCAGAGATGCACCCACTCCCTCAGTGAGAGAATGGGGAGACTGGTGCATGGAAAGATGATTGTTCAATCCCTCGTCCACTGAGAAGGAAGGCAAAATGCCAGTCAGGCCATGAACCCTAGGACTTTGCTGCAACTCTAAGAAGTGCTTTTGTGTAAACACAGTTTTTTATTGAATAAAATGTCTGAAAGGACTTTGGTCACAATGTTTCTATGCCGATGAAGGCATTCTAAATGAGTTGTGTTGAGCTATAAACCTGGGCTTATATGTCCTGTCTCCACCCTGATGGGGGTGATGAAAGTAAATCACGGCTGAAGATTTTGTAGCTTGACGTTGGCTGATTTGTGCCAGTGCTGTGATTATTTAAGGCATGTTTACTCCTCAGTCACAGCAGATCATGAGACAGACAAGAGGTGACTGTAACCACTAAGGCCAAATATGACTCTAAATGTCACAGTGTTCCTCAATCCTGCGCTGCCACAAATGACCATGTCGGTGCAAACTCTCTGACCTACTTTCTCTGATATCCAATAGATTGTAGTGCAAACATACTTTGCATATGAAGTTTTAACATTTCTAGCAGCATATCTCTTTAACCCAAGCACATCTTTTATTTATTTTTAATTATCATTTTTAGAAAAGCTTCTTTACCACTTTTTTTTACGTTTGAGTTTTATATGACGCAGCATTTACTGGAACCCTGTTTTTTTCCATGTCAAAGAAGGTTGCCTCATCAGTTGCACAGATTCAGTCCTTGAAGAAATCTGTGCACTCTGTGATCTTTTTATATACACTGCCTGCCCCCCCCCCCAAAAAAAAAAGGTTGCACACTGATATTCTGTTGGACCGCCTTTAGCCTTGATTATGGCATGCATTCACTGTGGCGTTGTTTCGATAAGCTTCTGCAATGTCACAAGATCCATTTCCATCCAGTGTTGCATTAATTTTTCACCAAGATCTTGCATTGATGACTAGACACTAGACATGATGGGTGCATCACTTCACCTGCCTCTCTTCTTACCCTGATGCACCCATCACTCTGGAACACGGTAAATCTGGACTCGTCAGACCACATGACCTTCTTCCATTGCTCCAGAGTCCAATCTTTATGCTCCATAACAAACTGAAGCCTTTTTTCCCAGTTTGCCTCACTGATTAGTGGTTTTCTTAAGCTACACAGCTGTTCAGTCCCAATCCCTTGAGTTCCCTTCACATTGTTCATGTGGAAATGTTCTTACTTTCACTATTAAACACAGTCCTGAGTGCTACTGTTGTTTTTCTTCCATTTGATTTCACCAAACGTTTAAGTGATCGTCGATCACGATCATTCAGGATTTTTTTCCGGCCACATTTCTTCCTCGAAGACGATGGGTCCCCACTATCCTTCCAATTTTTAATAATGTGTTGGACAGTTCTTAACCTAATTTTAGTTTCTACAATCTCCTTTAGATGTTTTCTCTGCTTGATGCCAATGATTTGACCCTTCTCAAACAGACTGACATCTTTTCCACGACCACGTGATGTGTCTTTCAACATGGTTCTTTAAGAAATGAGAAGCAACTCATTGCACCAGCTGGTGTTAAATAACTTGTTGTCAGCTGAAAGATGATCGTCCATGCAGTAATTATCCAATAGGAGGCTCGTACCTATTTGCTTGGTTAAATCCAGGTGGCGACTTTTTTTTTTTTTTTTTTTTTGGCCAGGCAGTGCATTTATAAAAGACAATTTATATAAACTGTTTTTCCCCAAGCAAGTTATTTTCTGTGACTATCCACTTCAAAATGTATATTCTTGTCAGTTAATGTTTTGTTTCATTATACATATCTTTTGTATTTTCCATGTTTGCACTTGTCTAGTGATGCTTCATGGATGAATTACCAAAATATTGTGACTCTTAACATGTTCGCATAAAGGATATCCTTAGGTAGTAAAATTTGAAGTACTACAGCTCTTATGTTTTGAAGTATAGCTCATTCTGAACACGATTACATGTAACGACAGTGAAAGAGTAAGAAAGTAAGTGTGACATAAGTTTTTATTGGATAACCATTTCATAACTGTCACTAGTGCAGTGGTTTGTACAACATTGTATCTCTGGTAGTGTTATTGTGTTCATTTTGAGTTGTATGTAACACACATGCACCACATATCCTGACCTAATTTAATCTTCTACTAAGGCTGTAATCAACAACATAAACATGCTTCCAGTTTGAAGAACAAGATCAAGAGTATCTCTGGATTAAACAGATAGAAACACCAAAAGGGTGTCTCCTAGTAGCAAAACCACAGTCATGCTTTAATAAATAAGCTCAATAACAACGTACATTAGTTACGTCTCACTCAATCACAGTTTTTTAAGGGACTGAGTGGTACATCAGGTTTTTACAAACAGGACCAACTCAACAATGATTCATATATACTGACTGAATATTTTAAGTCCCAGTATCAGGAGTACAAGGCACAACATGCTCGTTCCTCATCTGAAAAGTGATGCAAGTAAAAGTCCTGATAATTTCAGAAACAAAGTAGTTAGACTTTTGGACAGTATGCATAAATATTTTACTGTAGCTTATTTTGTTGAGTGGTAATTTACATCCTTTAACATTCTGCCATTCCGGCGGTATAACGGCTTGTATAATTTATTGGGTTGAGCAGGAACCTTAAGCTTGTTTTCATTAAGGCGTCGGATATCCTCACATAAAGGGTAAATTTTGGATCCAATAAAAGTTTAATGAACTTTTTCAACCTAAGCAAGGTTGATTGTAAAATGCTAGTTCGTTGGCCAACTCATTTTTATTTTATAAACCTATTCATGTTGTAAAGAGTTGATGGTTAGACCTTACAGCGAAGTTGTTTTGTCAACTTTTGTTTTCAGTAAATCATTTTAATATAATTTTTTTCTTTGTTCAGAACATTTTTTTTTTTTTTGAAAGTAGATGTGAAGTTTTGGAATAACTAGATTATTTTAGAAGTTGTATATTACATTTAGTGTTGTATTTGCATACATTTCAAATTTTATCCTTTTCTCAACTGGTAAGAAATCCTCAAGTATTTATGAAAATAAATTTTGCAGCTAGTTATTTTATTAGTACAAAAGAGGGACATAGGTTTAAGACGAGAATTAATTTAGCAGGAAACGCATACAACGATCATCAGTTCACTTTTATTGCAGAATGGCTGGCTTAAGTCCAAAGTATGTCAAACTGATCCCAGATCTGGTGCTGGTGGCAGTGTGCAGGAACATGTATAGGTCAGGGCCTGCTCCCTGTCCCTAAGGTTAGCTCTGTGGAACATTCTGGGCTCAGGTCCCAGAGAATAGTGACATGTCAGCAGCCCATTGAAATGAACAGGCTGAGGGTAGCACTATGTTAGCAGTGTCACAAGGGGGGAGGGAAAGGGCATCGAGTGGATTTGCTAAAACCAGTGTTAACAGTTCAGAGTAGACCAAGCGTGGCTGCACCAAAACGTCTGGTGCTCCTGGATAGGAGGTTCGCCAAGTTCAAAAAGTCAAATGCAGTATAACAATTGTGAAAATCTGGTGAACCTATGACTTTCTTTTCTCTTATTTTATAGTTGATCTTTTCAAGAAAATGTCAGGCAGAGACTGTTTTTCTCAAGTCTCAAGTGTGCCTCATGGGCAACAACAGGGCAGTCAGTCAAGACTTCACTTGGAGCATAATTATATGTACTGTGAAGTTTCTGTGTGTGTACTTAGGCGTAGGTGGTAGTTTAATTGTCCTTGTAGTATAACTCTGTGCCACTTGCAATGCTTCATATTGGTTCAGAAATGCCTTTGTTTAGAACTTGTGTAAGTGAATGCACGATATAGAGCATGGTCATCCTGGCATACAATAAAAGTAAATAGTGTGTATTCATACTATATACTAGGGCTGAACGATTTTGGAAAATATTCTAATTGCAATTGTTTTTTTTTTACATCAATATTGTGATTGTGATTTAATATGCAATTATTTTTCTATGTCTTTTCGTGTATTTTTCAATGAACACGAACAATAAAAAATCAGTTTTCAGCTCTGCTGCAACTCTTGTTTCTGCATTTATTTTGTGTAGCTCCAGGATAGCAACTTGGCTAAAATATGTGCGCGAGGGCATTCCGTACCGCTTATCCACTGTGTTTACCAAAGCTGTAAATCCAGGCTTGGTCACTATATTAATGGGCATCATGTCTTTCGCTATGAACTCCGTTATTACTCGAGTTATTTCCATGTGCTGTTCAGAGTAATACTTTCGAACATTTCGGTCAGTGATCCCTGCCGGCTGGTACTTTACTTACTTTAAGTTGAAACACTGGTCGTTGGCATTCTAACCATGCAGCTATCGTAAATGGCTTTGTGGTGTTTTTTAAAGTGTTGATAAAGATTTGTGGTGTTACCTCTTGTGCAGCGTCATCTTTTTTTATATCTAAAATAACTCCAAACAACGGACGTGCTGCTCCTCTTTGTTACCAAACTTTCATATGCATCAGCTTCTGCCGAGCCCGATGCCATTGTGGAACCAGTTAAAATGCATAAGTGACTTCTCCCTGCTCTGCTTTGCTCTGCTACGCTCACTCGCAAATCACGTGACCAGTCAAATCCCAGCCTTTGCAATTAGAAAATCTTGTTTCATCATATCGCAATATTATTGCAAATGCAATTAATTGTTCAGCCCTACTGTGTACAGACTTGTGTAACAAGCTTTGCGATGAGCTCTTTAGAAACCTCAGAGATTTACACAATTTTATATAAAAAACGAAGAAATATTTGAGAATCACCGTGGTCCCCAAGAAACCAAGGAATTATTTCTGATTTAGGCCAGATACAAATGAGTTACAAAAGAAAAATACTTAATTCAGTGCTAATTTTGCACTTATTATGACATAAGATGTGATTCTCTAACATAGGTAGTTATAAACTCAGATAAATAACACATGGCTTATTACTGTCATAAAAAAGTTAATTTTTTAGAATAATTTTTAGTAGCAATAACTTAAAGCAACTCCCAACAGTGTCCTTAAGTGTTCTGTCTTTCGTTGTTTTTATTTAAAAATGATACATTAGTTTGAGTTGTTTAGTTATTTTGTGGTAACTCCATTTCTTCTCAGACAGGTTGAAGTCTGGACTGGCTGGGATAACGTTTTAGATTTATTTATTTTTTAACCAGTCATTATGTTATAAAGATTTAGATTTTTAGGGCTCATCGTCCTTTACTCTCATGGTGTAACCACTGGTTTTGTTTACCCTTTTTAAAAAATTTTGATTGGTATATTTGATTCTCACTTTCTTGGAAATAATCTTCCCTAACTAAATTGTTTGTTTTGTTTATCATTGCAGGTCCTGTCATCGCGGCCCATGATTAGATTTGATGGAAACAAAGGGGTAAGAACACAATCTCACCATCTCAGTAGTGACATTATGAGATAAAAACAGTTTGTACCATACAGTATTACTCCAGATATGTTACTGCTTAACTTGTTGGATCATTTGTATGTTCAATATTTGATAAATTAGCATTCCTAATATTAAAGATTCCCTCATTTTGATGCTTTAATGCAGACTGAGGTTTCAGCTGGTGTTAAATAAGGTCTATTTCCCCCTCAGCATAATACTTCAGTTGAACTGTATAATGGCTTGAAAAAAATCTTTGATAGGTTGATGCCCTAAATACATGCTGAGCTTTTTTTTTTTTTTTTTTTATCATTTTGTCATGTTGGGTCAGCAATGCTTGACCCAAAAATACCCTGACCTCTTTAGGTTTCCTCATTCCTTCATGATCTTTTAACACACAATTAGGGTCATTTCTGTTCTGCCTCAACTGAATAAATGGCAGTTTTATCTTATGCTTTTTACTTGACTATAAACAAATTATTTTCATGCAATTCTTTTTATTAAGCAACTCTTTCAATATTGTAATGTTCTGTTGCTTTGCTCCTTCTGAATTAATTTTCAGGCACTTGCAGTATAGGAGACAAGATGATGATTTATGTTTTTGCTAGCATGCTTACATTTCTGTTCGTAGTATAAACATCAACCAATGAGAACATTTTATCTTTGTCCATCAGGCTCTAAACCAGTGGTTTCCAACCCTGGTCCTTGAGGAACACTATCCTGCATGTTTTAGTTGTTTCCCTGCTCCAACACCTGATTCAGTGATTTAATTACCGGTACGTCCTCCAGTTCTGCAGAAACCTGTTCATCGCCCATTCAGTCAAATCAGGTGTGTCAAAAGCAGGGAAACGACTAAAACGTTCAGGATGGTGTTCCTCAAGGACCAGGGTTGGGACCACCTGCTCTAGACATGCAAGGAAATTTTAGATTGTTCTTTTAAATACTTGGGTCTTTGCATTTGATGCTTTTCAAGTTTTCTCATTTCTCTGGTTTGTTTGACATGAACTTATCCGTTTTACTTTTTAATTTGCCATGTCCAAACATTGTGCTGATGACGGTGTCCAAAATATTGTCAATATAGAACGCTTGGAACACTTGTGTCAACTTGATGCTGACTTTTGTGGAATATTTGCATGTGTACACCAATTGCTGACTACTGGGGAAAAAAATACAAAAGAACACAAATTAAAGCGTTAAAATGTCAACAGTGATGACACTGAAAGTATGACTAACAAACGTGTCTCTAACGTGTTATCTTTTCTAGTTATTGTAAAGTACAGAGTTTAACAGGATGTGATGAAGTTTGTAAACTGGTTTTCAGAGCTCATCAGATGTGCAAGATGGTTTGTTTCACAAACCCGTTTGAAAAGATTGCCAGAACTGGGCTAGCATAAAATACTATTTGGCATGTGACTGGATAAATGATTTGTCTATCAAAGTCTTGCTTCAATCAATCAGACCAATAAAAAAAAACAGACTTATGAAAGCCTGTCTAGAATTACAGCTTCTCTTCTGAGAAAAACCATTTCAATGGTGCTCTTTGCATCCATAAACCCATTCAGTAGCTGCTTTTCCCATCACAATAAATCCATTTAATTTGTACTAACCTGTTTGTTCTGAGAAATTAACTTTATCATGGCAGATGACTGCCAAAGTGTTGCAAAAAGCTCCTCTTTAATTCGTTTTTAGTGTCTTTCTCTTTAAGATCCATTAATATATTCAGCACGTACAGCTGAGCTAATTTATAATTTGAGTATTCAAGCTGACAGAAACTTTCATTGATGTTGCAGATTCACACGAGGAAATATTTGACATTTAGCTCATGATGCTCGTCAGAAGTGTGAAAGTGGCTAAATTGTAGAACAGATGGTCTGGCTGTCACAAGATCCCATTTTTCATTCACTTAGATTCATTCGTCTGGTACTTCCTAACAAACTATGAACACACTTTTAGAAGGGAGAGAAGGCAAAATGAAAAACTTGGATATATTTAAGCTGTTTTTTTCTTATATGGCATATATGCTTTAGTTTTCATTCTGTTGCATCTCAATGTGTCTTTAGAAACCTAAAGTTTCTGCGTAATAATGTGCTGATTTTTGAACGTTACAGACCCATTCTACTGTCATTTTTTCTGCATTAACATTGCATAAACAATGTTTTGCAATAGGTTTATGGTGATGTTTAATCAGACTCCTGGGGAGCACCTAGTTTTTGTTCCATAATCTAACCCTGACCATTTTCACTGTTGAAGCATATTCTTTTCACAATAATTTTGGTATCTTTAGTAAACTTTGAGATCTTTGTCTTCATGTCTCTGACACATTATAATTTGGGTGTCATCACTTAATTCCCACCCTTCTGGATTAGGAATAAAGATTAAGTTTGCGAGAGCTCATCTTTACCATCCGTTTGAAAGGAGGTGGTGTTTTTGAGACTTTATGCAGAGTGAGAGGATTAAAATTTGCTGCACAACGACGATACAATCAAGAACTTATGTTGCACTTCCCTGGATGCTCTTTATTATTGTAAGATTATCTGATCTTTTCTTTGCTCTTTAGGGTATAGGTTTAACAGTAACAATATCTGACTTAAGCTCCTGATGTTTCAGATGTAGACTTGATCAGTTTTGGCCTTTTTGAAAGGCAAATAAGATTTAACAAAGGAATGTTAATTTGCTGTTGGAGTATCTGCAGACACCTTACTGCATTTCTTTGCCAATTGAGAAGGTCATAAAGAGTATTTGGTTTAGTATTCTGGTTCATTTGAGTCTAGTTTTGTCAGATTTACATATCTTGACATGTCAAGTATTTAAGTTTTTGACCAGTATTTGATGGTAATAATTGTGACCATACATAAACTTCTAGTTCAAAACCATTCCTGTACTCTGTGTTCAACCACAACTATATAGATTACGTAGCAGATAATCAATTATACAAAAAGACTGGAGGTCCATAGTAATAGAAAATATGATGGCCACTAAGAGTCATGAGTAGAACTAAAATTTCAGGTCAAGTATTGATTCACTCAACTTTATCCATCTGTTCACATCCAACATTTGTTCGTTCCATTTTAAGGATTGTGTGTGCATACATTTGCTAGCTGAGATGCTGCTTGACAGCAAGTGACAGTGTTTGGGTTCAGTAGCATGAAAAATATAAACCAGTTCTTACTTCCAGGGTCACTAACTTCTAAATAGGTTCTCAAACCTGTAAAACTACAAACATCACCACTTGTCAACTACAGGAAAGTACACAGTACAACACAGGCTCATTTTAATTAAAACAAGTCAAACTCTTTACTGAACAAATCTTTTGAACAAAGTAGCACAATGATAAAAATTATCCTAAATTATACACTACTTTCTAATTTAACTATTGGAAACCTTCATCTTGTCAAAGCTCCAAAATTCACGGTTGAAACCCATGCCTTTGCATAAAAAGTTGTTTTTCCTCTGCAAAAAGAAGCTGAGAACTTGTTTACTGATTTTTTTTATTAAAAGTTTTGTGTGAAAAATGATATGCTAAAGAGCTCAAACCACACCGAGCGTCCGTCATTTTGAGAACCGAAAAACAGGAAGGAGAGACAGTCCATGTCACGTCAAGGGGCCTCCCTTCCACTTTTCTTAGGGACACACTGCTCGCTCTCTCACTATCCATCCTTCGGCTCAGTCTTATACTTCCATCTAGTGGTCAAAAAAGGTACTGCTCAAAAATTAACATTTCTTCTTAAATTTTACAATAATTACTAATTATTGTAAAATTTCAAACAATATTATCGTTTATCGCAATAATTTGAGACAATTAATCACCCAGCAATATTTGTTATTGTGACAGGTCTACTCCTGCTGCACCAAAACAACAATGTTATTGCAGACTGAATGAGCTCAACATTTGTCTACCTGTGACCCTTGGCTGACTTCAGACATTGCTGTCTTGTAACAACTAAAACAGCAATGTCAGCTTTGATTGTCTCTCTTATTTTATTTCTTTTAGTAATCCATCTTAAGAAGCAATGTTTTCTGCATACAGTGAGTGGTTTCAACATGAATGTTAAGCTGAAACCTGAGCCATTTGGTGCGGAGGAGCCTCCTCTCAGTGTCATCCTCTACAGCGTGAGTCAGTGAGCCAGCTTAGTCACACCCCTGAGCTCTGGTTTTCAGCCTCGTAATTTGATCTGGACTTGCACGGTCATCTTATCGCCTCTCCCATTTGTTCTTTTAAATAATTACAAATTACACATAATTTGTGTTCCAACGCTCGCGATCGCTTCTTTATACAGACCTTAAGTTGGACCATGTTGTTTTTCATAATGTGAGAAAGACTGCGCTCATACCTGCAAGTTTTGTAATTCCAAACTTTATCCTTCTGATCTGTGTTCTTGACATCAGTGCTAGATATTAAAATATATATATTCTGCAATACTCTTGCCATGAAGCAGTATCTGTATTCTGACTGTAACGATGCTTAGGTGGGTGGTAGATGGTGATTGCCAAGACCCAAAGTTTTTCCAACAGAACATTGCCCCCAGCATCACTGTGCCTCTGCAGACCTGTCCTCTTGCTATTCTGCATTCTGCTGCAGATATACAAACATGCACCTGGCTATAACGGCTGTAAACACTAAGAACAATACTCATAATGATAAGTTCACTGATAACGATGGACAAAACATTATGAAAATGAGGCCAACCACACACTGCACGCTCCAACTGCATCAGCTCTCAAAATAGATTTTGACTTGCTACTGTTGTGCATTACTCAGAGAAAATAATGCCTTCTCTTTTTCATGATGGTAAAAAACAACTCCCAAAGCTCTACTAATTACTATTTGTATTGATTTTGTAAGCTTTCGTATTAAAAGAGGAATTTGATTTATATGTTTGTGTGTATCAACATTAGTCAGATATTTATCACACAGGACTTGAGTAAAAAAAAAAAAAAATTTAGAGAGCCCATATGCATTGTGTCAAACAGAATTTTCCACTTTTCTATCTGAGTTTTGGCCCAATTTTAAATTAAATGTTTCATAAGTGGTAGGCCAACTAAAAGCAATTTCAGGGAAAGATGTCGTACACCGTCCAAAATGGAAAACAATGAAGTACGTGATTTTTGTCTTCAGTTTAAATGGCTAAAATGACTGTATGTACAAACTTAGTTACTTATTTTCACATCATGAAAGAGAAGGCAACCCTGCTGGTATTTTTTGTTCATCCATCCATCCATTGATTGTTTTTTTTTAATTAATATTATTGTTTAGAAAAAAGTTATGCCTCCCAGTTGTCCAGCCATCCCAGTTTCTTATTAAAGTTGCAATAATGTTAAATCTTTGCTCAGAGACAAACTTCTGGGAGAATTCATAAGCCCACAAGTTAACTTACAGAATCAAGCCTTTTATTATATTTTATTGTACCAAGTACATATTTGAAGAACCCAAACATCTATTACTGATTTTAAGCAGTCTGTGGAAAAGGTTTCCATTAATCTTCTGATACTCTAAATCATATGTCAAACTCAAGGCCCGGGGGACAAATGTGGCCCTAGTTGACATCTTATCTGGCCCCCAAGATGATATTTTAAATGTAAAATACTTTTATCACTTTAATTTTTTTTTAGTAATCTTTGATTATGATGTCAAAAGTGCAACAGAGAACATCAAATGAGACCAATCAAACTCTTGTTGAGGAACCTGCAACCAAGAAAAGACGTTTGGTGTCTAACTTGAGTAAATGTAGATTCTGAAACCGGCCCTTAGTTTGAAAAAGGTTTTAATTTTGGCCCCCTTTTGTAAGTGGGTTTGACACCTTCTCTAGATGGTGGAACATTCAGTCCTGTACATCAAAGAACAACATAAAGACACTGTTTCAACCTTTTTTCAAACTTGTTGCAGCTATTAAAACAAGATGAACTTTTTTGTCCCCTGTCGTGGAACGAAGAGTGGGATTTTGAAATGCTGTCCATCTGTGCATGTTGTGCACATAATGTAAAAAATAAGTGGGGTACCAACTTCCATGTTAGTGTGTGGCTGCATCTATATGCAAGAAATTTTCCTTTCAGAAATTGGATTGCCACGTCCAAATTCAAGATGGCCAGCACCATATTTTTATGTAAACCGACTACCACTATCATTTGAAGAAACTGTGCTGTATAGTTTTCATATTGCTGAAAAGTATAGTTTCCTCAAATGATTGAGGTAGCCAAAGATTGATCTTTGGTGGCCAAGGCCACCATTGGCCACCCTCTGGCTTTGCCGTTGTGCCTGGTCATGGATAAATTTGCTCCCTCCATAGAACGACACTTGACACTAAAAGTCTTACACCAAAAACATTAAGGTTTACTTGCAATCCCTGTTCAGTACCTGTCCAGAAAAACACTTCTTGAACATCATTCACTATTCAAATCCCTCAGCGATCCCTCAGGGGACATTGGCATATCACATGTTTAAATAATAGTGTCTCTCTTTTCACATTTGAAAAGTTCTCTACCGTAACTTTCATCTTGATAAGGTCTGCATGACATCGTATTTTGTTTAGAGTACATTTCACACAGTTTCTGTACTATTTGTGTCATAGATAATTCGTTAGTTTTAAGTTGTCAGCTAGATTGACTTTTCTTTATCAGATATTTTCTAAACTAGGCTGTTACTTGTTCAATCTTTTATCTATTACAAAGAACTGGATTTGTCCACCTTCCTCTAAAATAAATATGCCCTTTTCAACATGCTGCCATGTTCTTTTAAAAGCATTGTGGGGACAAACAGTCCAACTGTAATTATACATAATAGTAAAATAAAGACAAAAACAAATCTGTTATTTGGATTCATGAAACACCTCAGTTTGTCTCGGACAAACTGCAGCCAACTGTATTAAAGGGTAAATTATTGCTAACTCACATTTAAGCTCTTTGTTGAACAGAGCCGTGCTGCATGCAGCTTCACCTCATGTCACCTCTAGCTCAGAGGAAAAGCCAGTGAGTCACATCCTGAGCTTAGTCAGGTTAGGTCGTTTGCAGTAAATGGCCCTCTGGGCATGAGGACTTGTTACAGAGATGCAAACCCAGCTGCTGCTCCCTGTTGTACATCTGATTCAGTGAGATTTATAGTTCTTGACTCTGACGCCACATGAATTCACTCAGCCACCCAGTCGTACCTGGAAACACAACCTTCAGCCTCATGCCAATTCTTGAACAGAATTTAAGTATTTATCTTTATACGACTTGTAAAAATCACTTCAACCTTGACTTCACAGCCTAGTTGAACAATTTTGAAGTGAGAGAAATTTGTTTCAAGAGCAACTTTTCGTTGCCTACTTGTTCTGCTCCTCCTTTCTCACTGCTCTATTAGAAGTTTAACATACAACACCTAAATTTCATTCATGACTTGTCAAGTTATTGTCTTGATATAAGCAGTTCCCAGCAGTTTATAGCAAATAATAGAAGGTTATTCTGTAGTAAAGGTGATTATAAGGGTGGAAACGTGTGTGAACAGTTGTGTGCTGAGGATACCAATAATTTGAAAATCTAAAAAGAGCATTTTGCAACTTCTATTTAACAATTTTGTAAGATATTTTTCACTCTCCTGCTCTGTAGTGTCCGTTACATATGAAATGTAGAAACTCCTCTTTGATTTTTATTTTCCCATCTTGTCTTTAACAGAAAATTTCAATACCACGGTCAGAGAATTCCAGCGAACTGCAAATGTTTACCTTCGACTTGTCCAATGTGGGCAGAGATAACCCTCAGGGCAGCTTCGACTGCATCCAGCAGTACATCACCAGGTAAAGCCAAACACTGAATTACATTTATCTGTATAACACAAACTCACAAAATCAAATTACAACTGCAAGTTCTGCATAAACCCTCCATTTTAATGACAAATTATTAGGCTCCACGAACAGTGTTTTTAACATATTCACAACCTGAGTGAGGCAACAAGCATCCGTCATTAAATACTTGACAGAACACCTGATCGTGAGCCCTTTGAGCTGTGCAAACAGAAAATTGTGCATGTGCATATTGTCTTTTTCCAAATGTGTGTATTCTGCCTCTTTTTCGATTATTTCATGGTTTGTTTGTTTGTTTGTTTTTTCTTTACAATTAGAACATTCTACTGGATGCCTCAATTCCCCCCCTGGGATTAATAAAGTATATATATATATCTTGTAAAATGTTGGAAACAAAAAAAGCATTTTTCAGCAGTAAACTGAGTGATACAAGTTGGTGGCGCAGAGGTTAGAGAGGTGGGCTTGTGATCCGAAGATCGCCGGTTCACGCCCCGGCCCCGACAACATCAAAATTGTGGGTGGGGTAGGTGAAACACCCACACTTGCCCCCACCCTCATTCGCCCCACTCTGGGCCCATGAGCAAGGCCCTTAACCCCCACCATGTGCTCCCTAAACAGGTCTCTCTTGAAAATGAGTTCTCGTGGCTCAATGAGACTAACCTGGATAAATAAAGGCTAAATGAAAAAAAAAAAAAAAAATTATATGGGTCCAGGTTTGTTGAACAGTTTAGTTGACCACAACCAGAGGTTTGTGTTAAAGAAGAAAGCAACAAAGAACCAGAATGCAGAGCAACAAAAAAATCTTGTATTTCCTGTCTAACCAAATTATTCTGAAAATATTTTTAACAAGTGGGTCAGGCGGGAGTTCATTTAGATCTCTGGCCGAATTGTTGCAGTTTTTAACTCAAATGACAGAGTTCAGATTGTGCTGGCTGTGTCAGCACATCTCATTTTCTGCCCAACCCTCATCAAAGTGGAAGGAAATTAAAGCAAGCCGAGACGTTTGGGAAAGAATGGGATTGGATGCAGCACTGAGCCGTACTGTGGGAACCCACGGTTGGATGGAAATTGAAAAAAAAAAATAGTTGTGCCCTCAGAGGCTTTATTGGATCTCCTCTTGGCAGCAATACTAAGTAAAGAGATGAGTTACTGCAAGCAGTTGAATCTTTAATATATAAAAGTATAAATGGTTATATTGAGAATTTGTCAGTTGTTTTTCAGGTCTTTTTTGGGGGAAAAAATCTATTTTAAGTCATGGTCAAATAAGCTTCTGACTCAAACTGTCTTTATGTGTGCTCTTTGTTTTGGCAGTAAAGGGAGTATTCAGCTGGACTGCTTGGGCAGCATTCAGGACAAGATCACGGTGCGAGCCACCGATGACTCCTACCAAAAGGCCAGGGAAAACATGGCGCAGGTTGAGGAGGAGACTCGCAGCAGAAGCGCCATAGTCATCAAGCCTGGTGGAAGATATGTAGGTGAGGAGACTTGAAGAAAAAGCCTCTGGTCAGTTTGGGAATGATTTTTAACCAAATGCAAACAAAAATGAGCATTTAATACCTTTGGTTTGGCTTTGTGTGACAAGTAACAGAATATTTTTTGATTACGACGCCCTAAAGTTGTCAGGAGTTGAATTATTGGAAAAGGCTGGGGTAATTTTTGTGCCCTGCAGACACTCAGGTGGTCTGTGTGTTTGTAGCTTTGCTCTGCTGGTGACTGGGTTCACACGGAGCCTGACGGACTGTTTGGGTCAAGGACTAGATGGCTACGGGCGACGATGCCTGATTCATAATGAAGTTTACTGAATTTGATGTAGGTTGGTTCCTCAGCTGTATATATGTATATGTGCCTCATACACACTGATCCTTTTTGTCCCTGAATTTGCAAACATGTTTAAATGCACGAGAAACATCAGTAGGCTCTCTGGCATAACTCATCAACTTCCTGACTAGGTGTTGGTATTAGACCTGCTGATAAAGCACATCATGTGCAGTTGCAGTTAGGCCTGTCACGATAATGAATTTTGCTGGACGATCGTCTCAGACATTATTACGATAAATGATGATATTGTTTGAAATTTGACAGTAATTCGTAATTATTGTCAAATTTAAGAAGAAATGTTGGTTAATTTGTTTTGACCTTGTTTTGACCACCGGATGGCGGTATAAGACTGTTTGAACCGAAGGATGGATAGTGAGGGAGCGAGCAGCGTGTCTCTAGGAAAAATGGGAGGGAGGCCCCTTGACGTGACATGGGCTGTTTTCTCCTTCCCGTTTTGGGGTTCTCAAAATGGCGGACGCTCGGTGTGTTTTTAGCTCTTTAGCATAGCATTTTTCACACAAAACTCTTAATAAAAAAATGGTGAACAAGTTCTCAACTTCTTTTTGCAGAGAAAAACAACTTTTTTTAGACGAAGGCACGGGTTTCAATCGTGAATTTTGGAGCTTCGACAAGACGGAGGTTTTTTCCCCGAGGTCAGCCTGTTAGCGTAGTTTGTAGCTTAGCTTCTCAGCTTAGCTGCTTTAAACGATCCAAAAACGCGATTTTGGTTGGTTAAACATGCCCCCGCTGAGACGCTCCAGACCGGTACAAAAGAAAGTTAAATGCTGGATCCAGGACAGTGGCCCCATACTGAGAGATTGTTTTGATCGAACAGACTGGCAGGTTTTCAGAGAAGCTGCTGAAAATGGAGGTTCGCTTGATCTTGACCAATACACATCCTCAGTACTGGGTTACATTAGTACATGTACTGACACAGTCTCCACTATCAGAAATGTTAAAAGCTACCCAAACAGAAAACCTTGGCTGAATGCAGAGGTGCGTACCCTGCTGGAAGCCAGGAACACTGCCTTCAGGTCTGGAAACTCAGAGGAGCTGAGTAGGACAAGAAAAGAGCTGGTTGCTGGTATTAAGAGGGCCAAGGCCACATATGCAAAGAGGATCGAGGGTCAATTCATCTCACAAGACCCTCGGAGCATGTGGAGGGGCATTAAGTGCATAACGGATTATAAAGAAAGGAGTGAACAATGTCCCAAAGACCCATCTCTGCCTGATGCCCTCAACAAGTTCTATGCACGCTTTGAAGACCCGAACAGACCACCCAGCACCAGACTCACCTCATCACCGGATGAAGAGCATCTCAGCGTGACCTCAGCAGAAGTAAGGAGTACCTTCAGGAGGATTAATCCGCACAAAGCAACTGGCCCAGACAACATCCCCGGAAAAGTGTTGAAGGAATGTGCTGATCAGCTCTGTGAGGTGCTGGCAGACATCTTTAACACCTCACTTACCCTGGAGACAGTTCCCACCTGCCTGAAGACTGCCACCATCATCCCAGTCCCAAAAAGCTCTACAGTGACTGGTCTGAATGACTATCGGCCAGTGGCCCTCACCCCGATAGTCGCTAAATGCTTTGAAAAACTGGTCATGACTCACATCAAAACAACCATCAACATCAACGAGGACCCTCATCAGTACGCATACCGTGAGAACCGATCAACAGAGGATGCAATCTCCTCTGTGGTCCACACTGCACTCAACCACCTGGAGCAGAAAAACTCTTACGTCCGTATGCTCTTTGTGGACTTCACATCCGCCTTCAACACCATGATCCCCCAAACCCTGATGGACAAACTATCCACACTAGGACTAAGCCCCTCCATCTGCAACTGGGTACTAGACTTTTTAACAAACAGACCACAGTTAGTGAGGATCCACAACCTCTCCTCCTCCACCATAACCCTCAGCACTGGCTCTCCTCAGGGATGTGTGTTGAGCCCCCTCCTGTTTACTCTGCTCACATATGATTGTGCAGCTACCCATCCAGGCTGTCACATTGTAAAGTTTGCAGATGATACAGCGGTGGTGGGATGCATCACAAACAATGATGAGTCCAGCTACAGGCAGGAGGTGGAACACCTGGAGAGCTGGTGCAGAGAGAATAACCTTCACATCAATGTGAAGAAGACAAAGGAGATGATTGTGGACTTCAGAAGGAACAAAAACACCTACACCCCCCTGAACATAAGAGGATCTGCGGTGGAAGTGGTCTCCAGCTACAAGTACTTGGGTGTACACATGAATGACAACCTCAGCTGGAGCAACAACACCACCAGCCTGATCAAGAAAGCTCATCAGAGACTCTACTTCCTCAGACGGCTGAGACGAGCTGGTCTGGGAAGCTCAGTCCTCACCTCCTTCTGCAGGTGTGCAGTGGAGAGCATCCTGTGCTCGAGCATCAATGTGTGGCATGGAGGCTGCACAGCTGCAGAAAGAAAAGCTTTGCAGAGAGTGGTGAAGGCTGCACAGAAATCTGTCGGAATCAGCCTCCCCACCATCACAGACATCTACACCTCCAGATGCAGGAAGAGGGCCACCTGCATCATGAAGGACCCCACCCACCCAGCACACACACTTTTTGCTCCACTCCCCTCAGGAAGGAGGTTAAGGAGCATTAAGTGTAGAACCACTAGACTGAGGAACAGCTTCTACCCTGAGGCTGTTAGACTCATGAATCTCTAACTAGAATAATCACTGTGAAAAACCATATCATGTTGCTGCTGATCTGTTTCATGTTGCTGCTGATCTGTTTCAATGTTGATGTGTTCATGCGTGCACATCTGCTCACAGACTCATGTTCATGTTTGTGCTGATGTTCAATGTTTTATGTTATGAGTGCTTAGTGTATATTTAGTTGATGTTTTTCTTATTTCATATCTTAGATGTTATTACTGTTTTTCTTATACATTTTATTGTTGGATGTAACTGGGACCCTGCGTACATAATTTCGCTCCACCACATGTACCACATGAGGTGCGAATGACAATAAAGAAACTCTGACTCTGACTCTGACTCTGACTTAAAACATATTTTAAAGAGAAATGGAGGGGTCGGTGAAGAGCACCGGAGTTGAGCCTTTTGTCATCCGGTGTCTTCAGTAGAAAGAGAGACGAAGAAACAATAAAGCCGATAAATGAAAATGTGGTCGATAATTTTCATTTATCATCCGATTAATTGATTTATTGTTTATCACGACAGGCCTAGTTGTAGTAGATGCGCACGATTGTAAGCCTCTAAAGCAACTAGCAAAGAAGTCCAAACATTGTTTCGGTCTCAAGCTAAGTACACATTCATATGTTTTAAACCCGAGTTGTTTGTTCATTTTGTGTAAAAGATTTAAATAATAAAAAAAATAATAAAAAATCTCTGCCCGCATGAAAAGACACCAACACCAATGTAGTGCTGTCAAAGAACAACCAGTTGTCAAGGCCATCACTAGACTAGTTGGATTAAGTTAAAATCCTTTCTCTTGCACAGCTTTTAAAAGTTCTTATGATCTTGGTTCATAAACTGGGTTCATATGATGACGACAGGTAAGAACTGCAGTTGACTAAATACCATTGTTTGTGTATGAAGGGAGAGTCTGTGGTAACCAGTGTTTGTGTAGGTTTGTTGAGCTGTATGTTGCAACATGAAGGATGTCTTTGTGAAACATCATTTATGAGTCATCTACAAGTTTTCTCAACTTTACAGAAACACTGGTATAAAAGATGACCTTCTCTGGGGCGCCTCCTTTGCAGCCTGATTTTACATTAGAGGAGTGTAGTGAGTATATAATGTTGTTTTGAGTCTTGTGGGTCGACTGTGGATGAGTGGTTAGAGCAGTCATCCTCCAATGCAAGAGTTGAGGGTTCGATTCCACCAGCAGTCACATGTTGAAGTGTCCCTGGGCAAGACACTGAACCCCTCATTGTCTCTGATGCGTGTCCCGTTGGTGTATGATGTGATGAAGCACTATAGATGCACAAAATTGATTTTTGGCCGATTTCTGATATGCCAATATGTTAAAACTTATTTGGCCAATACCAATACCGATATTTTTCCCCTAGACCTACTTACAGACTACATCGCTTTCGCTGATGTGGAATTAAAATACATTATTCTGCATGGTCTTTGTCAGTTTGGCCTGCAACCAAATGCAGATGTCCAAAAGGGGACTGAAAATGATGAAACACTTCAACTTGGATTATGTTTAATGTCAAATTTATTCATTTACGCTCTCTAACACAACGACAACACTCGAACAGTGCAAATTTGTAAATGTTCATAAATCTAAACTCAACCTGTTCACAAGCAACAAGTGAAAAGTGCATAAGTAGTGCATTAATAGATATACTTACCATACCATACCAATTTATTTATAGAGCACTTAAAACAGCAACAAGGCCAACCAAAGTGCTGTACAAAAGAAAACAAAAATGCACAGCGGACAGGAAAACATAAAATAAAAATACAGATACAAATAGCAGCAGAAGCTAACTAAAATGGCCAACAGAGTAGAGAACAGACAGGACCAAAACAAATTGCACCGTGTTAAAGGCAAGAGAATAGAAGTGGGTCTTCAAGCGAGACTTAAAGACTGAGTGTGTGGGAGCCTGCCGGACACTCAGTGGCAACTCATTCCACAGTCGTGGACCTGCAACAGAGAAAGCCCTGTCACCTCTGAGCTTACGACAGGTTTCTGGGACTGAGAGAAGCATCTGGTCTGCTGACCTCAGAGAGCGCGGTGGGACATATGGCTGCAGAAGATCAGTGAGATAGGATGGGGCGGAACTGTTCAGTGATTTAAAAACATGCATGAGAATTTTGAATTGGATCCGAAGGTGAATGGGTAGCCAGTGCAGGGATGCCAAAACTGGTGTGATGTGTCTCTATAGCCTGTACCAGTTAAAAATTGGGCTGCAGCATTTTGGACCAGTTGTAGACGAGCAATGGAGGACTGACTGATTCCAAACAGAAGTGAATTGCAGTAATCAAGCCTAGATGTTATGAAGGCGTGAATCACTGTCTCAAGGTGCTTTTTGCAGAGTATAGGCTTCAGCTTAGACAGCCGTCTCAGCTGAAAAAAACAGGATTTGACCATCATGTTTACGTGACTGTTGAGTTTTAAGGATGGGTCCATTATCACCCCCAGATTAGTGACCTTTTGTTTCTCTAGCGGGGCTAGAGAGAAAAGGTCAATGTCATGGTTCATGAGTGAGCCACTGGGATGGAACAGCATGACCTCAGACTTCTTCTCATTGAAGCTTAAGAAGTTTAAAGCCATCCAGTCCCGGATGTCAGCCAGGCAGTCAAGAAGAGGCTGAATAGAGCGTGTGCCTCAGGGAGAAGTAAATTTGGCAATCATCGGCATAGAAATGAAAGGGTATGTTGTGTTTGCGGAAAATAGTTCTAGTGGCAGCAGGTATAAAGAAAAGAGAAGGGGACCGAGGATGGACCCCTGCGGTACCCCCCCCTCCCCCCCTCTGGAGCGCTGTCGATGCCGAACTAAAATCTTTGATATTGACACAGAAGGTTCTGTCAGAGAGGGAGGACCCAAACCATTTAAGGGCTGACCCTGTGATGCCCACCCACTGCTCCAGTCTAGAAATGAGGATCTTGTGGTCGATGGTGTCAAAAGCAGATGTAAGGTCCAATAGGACAAGCAGCACAGAATCACCTGCGTCTGTAGATATGAAAATGCCATTAAAAACCTTCAGTAGAGCAGTTTCAGTGCTATGGAGAGATTTGAAGCCAGATTGGAATAACTCTAGGATAGCGTGATACTTGACAGTTTCTTAAATTAAAAATTAACTTAAAACAGAAGCCCAATATGTGGTTATACAATCGTAATGATCAACTTAAATCTCTACGAATTATGCTGTGCGCAAATAAAATCAAAGTGCAAAAAATATTGTCATCTTCTTTCCTTTGTCAGAACATGGCCCTCTTATTTAGGCTTATTTGCTACAAAAATTGTGGAACGGATAATAGAAAGTTCAAACAGGCCTTTTGTTTCAGAGTTATTTTGATAGAATGGCCGATGACCGATATTTAATTTTATCGCAAATATCATCTGATACCGATACTGTGCCAACAATATCTTGCATCCCTATAAAGCATTGATTATTCTTTGTATAAATGTAGAGTGCTGTATGAATGGGTAAATGAGGGCACAGATTGTAGTGTAAAGCACTTTGAGTATCTTGATAAGATAGAAAAGTGCTATATAAGTACAGTCCATTCGTTTAATAAGACTACTGTTCAAGTACACACAATCAAAGGAGAGGGGGTACTTCCAAACTTGTGACAAGAAGTTGAATACTTCTGTGTGTGCTTTAAAATGTGTTCAATTTTAACAATAAACTGTGCTGCCTTTAAAATTTCACTTGATTTTTTTTTTTTCTTGCTAATTCTCTGTACACTCCTCCACCTCTGCATCTTTTCTCAGGTAAGAAGGTGCAGATCCGGAAACCGGCACCTGCCCTCTCAGATATCGCCCCCTCACGGAGGACGTCTCGGCCTGTCCTCATCTCCAGCAGTACGGTAAAGAAAGGCACGGCTCAGCACCGGCCTCTTCGTGAGCGCCTCATACACGTGCTGGCCCTCAAGCCTTACAAGAAGCCTGAGCTGATTTTAAGGTTGCAGAAAGATGGCCTCTCGTTGACAGACAAAGATTCCCTGGACAGCCACCTGCAACAGGTCACTCACCCACACACAAAATGACTTACCGCAAACATTCACTGTTCTTAAACCTCAGAAAAATGAATGGCATCTTTCTAAATTGCTCAGTAGAATATGAGCGTGTGTGTTTCTTGTCTTTTTTTCTTAGGTTGCCAACCTAAATGGGAAAGAAAACACCTTCACATTGAAGGACTTCATGTATAAGGAAATCCAAACGGATTGGCCAGGATACACAGAAGGAGACCAGCAGCTTCTCAAGAGGATTTTGTTCAGGTACATCTCAAATGTTTGGATGTGAGGTGTAAAAAGTGTGCGCCTTTTTAATTTAATTTCTTTTAACCAGTCACTGGTTTTAAGTCTTAATGAGAGGTTTGCTTTTAACTTTTACTAGGTTTTTTTTTGTGGTCATTTTAGGATGTTTCATATTTACAATAAATTAATACAATCGTCATACATGATGTGATCTAAAAAACAAAATGAGATTAAAAAAAGAAGTCTAATAAAATAAGTCTACAATGATCAGTTTTTATTTTATTTTATTTTTACTTTAGGAGACTGTATCAAAAAAATATTTCTTCCATGTTGTTTGCATATAAAATACACCTAATAGTTGAAGTGCACACTTATCTTTTCTGATTATCATAACTTTTACAAAGGTTGTACTTTGATAAATAAAATAGATTATTTTCATTATTCTGTATATTTAATATTATATATATATTTGTGAGTTGGTGTATATCTGCACACTCCGCTTCCTGTTTGTCTCTTTACTGCACTTTGTGCTTCGTTTGTGATTTGTATCAGCTGACTAACAACCAGAGCCTCCCACTTAGAACTACTCCCCCTCCCCTGCTCCTCCAGAGTTTTGAGCTAATGCAGTCAGTCACGCAGCAGCAGCAGAGCAGCATGACTGGAACGCACATGATGCAACGGTGTCCCAGCACATGCTGATCTGTGTGTAAGGTGGCATCTGTCCAAGGTTCAGCCATATCGGTGTGACACACGAGCAGGGTCTCCACATGAGAAGGGAGGCAGGCCGTGTCCACACCACAGACACAAGCCCACACACCCTTATGAGGGGCAAGGGTTTGATATCAAGTGCTGCTACTGATATTGCCAACCCTCGAGGCAACATTTGCTCTGCTTGAGCAACATACCTTTTACCCTATCAATCAAAAGGTTTGCTGGTGTGGCCTCTTGAACTAGTGTTGTTTAAGCAGCAAAGCCGAAATGTAGCTTTAATGTTAGCTTTTTACCAGTTACTGTATATGTTAAAATAAAAAGCGGATCATTTGTTTTATATTTTCATCCTGAGAATTCACTTCTTCTGTGCTGAGATCAGCACAGTTTGTCTTGGTTGGACAGCTCTGCGTTGGCACAGCTCTTTGTTTGGCTGCTACACTGTGACAGATTTATCTGGTACACACTGAGGCCCTGTTCATACCTAAAGCTGAGGTGTTTTCTTCTTTTGGCTGAATGAGACTAAAAGCGAAGCTCTCCTGAACTGGGTGTAAATGTTACTATCACAGGAAAAATCATAAACGAATCCTGTTCATGTTTGAACACCATACAGTTGGCCTCTTCGTGGTCCAAATGGCATCTCTCCTCCAAGTGAGCTGCAGCACCATATTCTCTCCTCGTCACTTCCTCTCTCGCTGCAGGGTGTCACGCCACTGTCTCACTTGTCCCCAACAAGCTGGCATAATCGCTAGGCTAATAAGTAAACAATTATCAGTGTCCACATCACAAAACATTACGAATAATGTAAAGTGTGAATAAAATCACTAAACATTGATAACTGTTGGAAAATACAGATTTAATTACTAAAACTTTGCCTCTTCTAGTTATGATTTAAAAGCTGCTTTGTCAAGTACCCCCCCCCCCCCCCACACACACACACACACACCACCCCCACTGTTGTCATAGAGACACTCAGCTTGACAAAGCAATATTAACTTGTCTCTGAGGTCTTCCTGCATACAATTTGCTTGTCACCAAAGACATGACAGCGGCATGATTTGTATCATGCTGGATTATTTATTTATTTATTTGACAAATGTAGTTTAAAACTTTGCAGACACGAGCCAATTAAAACTCACTTTATAACTGTTTTCAGTGCATTTCTGTGTTACCTGAACTGAGTTTTTGTATTGATTACAGTAAGTTTCAGTGGGTAACCTTTGTGAAATATGATCTCAAGCTTCTTTGTGTGTATATATGTGTATATCGTGTTGCGTGAATTCATCCAGGAAACAGAACAGTTCTGCTCCTCCGCCTGAGAGTCCCCCCAACGAGCTGGCCGGCAGTTCTCCATCTCAGGTGAGCCTCTTCTTCCTCCTGCCACACTTCTCTGCACCTAGACTTTCAGACTTTAGTTACCATGTTTTTCACCCTATAAGTCGCAGTGTTTTGCATAATTTGCATGCCCTGCAACTTATACGCCGAAGCGACATATTTGTTTTTTTTTTCCCATATTTATAAACCAGTTTTTGTCTGAGATATGACCGTTTTCATTCCTTCTGACAGAAAATATTGAACACTACCATTTTCAGCCGCTAGATGGCAGTCGAGTAGCGAGTCGCCGTCTGCGTGTTCATGTTTCCGCATGTCGGCTTTTGAAATGCAGCTGATTTGACCCTCAAAATGCATTTATTAAGGAAAAGTTAAACTGAGACACACCTTTGCTATAATTTTGAGCAAACAGTTCGAAAGTTAATCTTGTTAAATTCTTGTTAAAGTCCTCCCATGCACGCTCCCGCGGCTGCCTTTTGGCAGCCAATCGATTTTTGGCACAATACCGGCCCACATTTCCATGTTGTCAGTGGTGGCGCGTAACAAACGCAATGTGTCAGCTGTGACGCATAATAGATGTCAGGTATTTATGGATTTTTCCAGTTTATTAGACATATTTGGACGATGCAACTTATAGGGCGGTGCAACGTTTACGGCGGAAAATACGGTATACACAATTTCCTGTGCAATAACTAAATGTTTAAGATTATAACAAAGCTAATGTGTGAAGTTTTTAAAAACTTATCAGAACTTTTTTTTTAGGATATTTCTCTCGACCTTGTTCTGGTAGTGGTCAGTATTTCAACGAATATATGGAGGAATGTAAACGCATGAATTGCTTTATTGCTTCACCAGCTTTTTCTAAGTTCTTTAGCTTTATGACATCATTAGTTTCCTTTCATTTTCCTCCTGCTGCTCTTCCTCTCCTGTCTTTTTAACTGGTTCCAGTTGATGTTCGTTACCTGCTAACAGTTATCAGGAGTGCTTTGCAATCTCCTGACAAACAGGATTATTTATTTAGGTGGAGGGACGAGGACATACGTCATTATATTATTAGCTCCTTTTTTTCCACCTCAGACCCTTAAGTGTGGGCCCCATCCTTTCCACTAATTTCTCAGTAAACACAACGCACATAAAAGACGGCAGTAACTGAGACTTTATTTATTTCTTTTTAAAGAGCTAAAGAGCTGTACTCGTCAGATTGGGGTAAATTAGGGGGGTTGACTATACTAACAAGGTCTGATAAACGATCTTCTTACAAGTTGTTATTTTTAGGAGGACTTCCATTTCCAAATTTCTTGTTAAAGAACAGTGAACTAAAAATAAATGTGATCTTGATTACTTGGTGGAGAAATGTGTCTGAAGAACCTTGCAGGTGCAACCAAAGCTTCTCACTTCCTGTTAAAAGAAACCACTGTGGATCTGCCCCTCCTGAGGTTTTTGTGTAAGCCAGGTCAAACAGAGCCTGTCTGTAATGTAATCTCTAGTATTGTGAAAAAGTGGCGCAGTCAGACGCTGTTTTTATTTGCTCTGGCCTTGATTACATTTTTTCTCTTGATCTCTCCTAAATGAAATAATTCACACTGCGTTCTTTTCAAGCTTTTGCCATTAAAGCCACTGATTTATTTATTTTCTCCTGCCAGAAACGTCCTGCTGCTGACTTTATCGACCCCCTTGTCAACAAAAAGCCAAGAATATCACATCTTGCCAACAAGGCTGCAACAGTCCCAGTGAATGGCAAGCTCAGCTCTTCCAACGGCAAAGGAGAACCGGGTGGAGCAAAGTCAGGAGTGGCATCATCTATGTCGGACGGCGGCGTAACATCCAGCTCGCAGCCCCTTCCAGTGCTGGACATCCCTCGTCCTTTTGAAGTGCTGTCGGACGTCAGCAATGATTCGAGCCACAATGGACGTGACTGCGACTCTCAGGAAGTGGCTGTATCCGAGAGGCTCGGTCAACCACCTTCAGTCTTGTCTGCATCAACGGTGGTGGCTGCACCCAGCATTAGCGCGTCGTCCTCTGGACACACAGTGCTGAAGAGCCCGCAGGACAATAGTTCCTTATCTTTTAACAACAAATCCAAAAAGAAGTCAAAAAAGCATAAAGACAAGGACAAGAGCAAAGCCAAGGAGAAGGGGAGAGAAAAGGAGAGGAAGAGTGGTGAGGAGCCCAACACGGCCTTCAAGACGAGCCCAAAAGATTTGAAAAACAGTGTTCTGCTCAAAAGCACAGGTGGGAGCAGCGCACACAGCTTCATAGCATAGGCTCAGGAATTGTCTCAGTAAACATGCTGCTTGTTGTGTGTGGATGAGTGGAGTTAGTCATCTCAGTGAGTAGGTGATGAATCATGTGACCAGTATGTTTCTCAGTGACTGAAGTGAGACCCCTGCTGTTCATCTCTGTGCCTTAGTGAGATCAAATATACAGTTCAAGTGGTGGATGTCATCTTCAGGGGATACATTTACTTCTCTCGCTTGTGACTTTGTTACAGATCTGAATGGAACGTGCAACAGTACCAGTATTTCTTCGTCATCACCTGAAGTGGCAGACTATTTATTGTGAGTATAAAAGGGTTATCTCTTACGGTGTACTAAAGTCGTGCTGCCGTAAAACTGATTGAGTTCCCAATTAAACTGGAATAAACCTGCTTTTCTAACATTATCGGTGACACACGGGCGCAGAAAAGACCGAAGGAAAAGGAGAAAAAGCACGGAAATGGTGTTGGGCAGGGATCTGAAAACATGTCATTTTGCCATCACGCTCTACAGCTGCAGCTGACTCGCATCATCTCCTTCATTGCTGCAGTTTAGTCACAAGACGATCACTGTTCTGTCAAACCTGAGCTCACATGTAAATCTCATAAGTGTGCATTTGCAGTTTACAATGTTTAATTCCTAAGGGGAGAGTTATATTAATACAGAATGGGGTGGGTGGTATAGCTTCAAGTGTATCAATTTAAAATGATGCAGAAAAGAAGAATCACTGAACATTGTATCTGGTTGCAGGTAGAAGCATTTATCACTGTGAACAAATGAGGGATGATCTTCATCTTTATGTTCTATGACCAGCTGTGACAGTGTGAATTTATCTACCAACCTTATACCACATCATATGGTCTGATACAAGAGTGCTGATATCCTAGGTGGTTTTGTCCAGGATTCTTTGGTCGCACCATAGCATAATTTTCTGTTGGATGAATAAAAATCTTATCTGTATTTACTCAAATAAGCCACTCTGAGGACACAAGAAGATTGTTAATCGTTTTTTTAATTGCAAGGGTAGACGGACACGAGAAGGCTTATCACAGATGTACAAAAATGACCTGCTTAGAGCCTCGTCCGTGACAGTCTGCATCGGACAGTGAGGCAGGAAGTGTTTTTTATAAAGCTTATCATACATATGCAGGTGCAAATCAGCTCCTCTCTGAGCAGACCAAAGACTCTCTGACCTCACACACATGGTTCAACATTAATTTAACATTAGTTAGTGATAAACATCCATAACCTTTCCCTGACATTTTCCAACAACATGCAACTCTACAGGAGTCTTCACAGTACGCTGTCATCTAATAAAACGGACCCCAAATTTGAAATACAAATGCAAACAAGGAGCAAAAATACAAATAAATTAAAATATTAGCACTATCTATACAGGTGTCAAAGCTTTAGATAAATGATGATTTTTTTTTATTTTTATATATAAATCATTTGGTCTCTTCGGTGCACCAAGGGGTTAGTTAGTACAACAATCCATTGAGTTGTTTGCCTTTAGAGCACTAGTACAATGGAGTACATTTTACTCCACTTTTTTCTTCCAACAGTGAAAGTGTTTCTTTTTTCACCCTGAGCAATAGCACCTTTCTTTCTTATCTAATAAGATAATCTGTTTTGTTGGAGGTCGGCCCTCTTGTAACCAAGCCATGTGCTGCTCTAACCCTCACTGTTCCACAGACAACAAATGATATTTTAGTCTCCGACACTATGACTGTTGTGATAAACAACTTGAAATGATGAGGAAACTGTTTGTCATTCATTGAACAGCATTGTGTATCGGTGTGTAAGTGATGTAGACCTCTCTGTGCGTAGTTGTGTGCCTTCGTGAATTCACAAAATTATATTTGTAATGTGAACCGTATGAAGTGGCACAACCCTGTTTACATTATATTATTGGGGAAAACAATTACTCCTGATGGGAAGAAAAAATGAAATGAAAAAATAACTAGAGAAATTGTATTTCCTGTGAAAATGCATTTTGAATGCTTATTGCTGAAGAACAGTTGAAATTGGCTAAAACATCATGCTGAAATGTAGCTGAAATGGAAGAACAAGCTCAAGTTAAGAGAAGAAAGCAGAAAGGACATGTTTGCTGAATTAGGTTTAAATAAGCAGAAATTACCACAAAAATTATGACATTAGCTAAAAAAAGGCTGAAATTAACGATTAAAAAAAGGCTGAAAAGTAGATGAAGTGTCAGAAAAACGCTTAAACTACCAGAAAAAAGCAAAAAGCTGAAATTAGCTAAAAAAATGTGGAATTGGCTAAATTAGCTAAAATTAGCATAAAACAGCTAAATACCAGTAGTAGCTGAAATAGCAGATAAATGCTAAAACTAGCAGAAATTAGCTGCAAGGCACATAATGAGCTGAAATTAGCTGAAAGAAGTTAAAGAAGCACAAAAATGTTGTCGTTAGCAGAAAAAAAAATCTAAAAAGAGCACAAAACAAGCGGATATTGGCTGAAAATAGCTGAAATTTTTTAAATCTGCTCAAGGAAGCTGAAAGAAACTGAACCAGACCAAAATGTGAAAGGCGCAGTAAAAGGTTGTTAACAGATCTAAAGATTTGAATGATGTAGAATGAGCTCAATTCATTTGGTATGAGGAAAAAGGTGGCATAAAAGGCTAAATATTTCAAAAAGCTAAAACTGCACCAATACCAAAAGTCATAGCAGGATTGTCCTGAAAGAGCTGAACATTTTGATATGATTTGTTGAAATAGCGTAAAAATTGTGGAACGAGAACGATTCTGAAAAACGTACGGAAGAAAAATGGATCTCAACAGTGAGTGCTTCATAAACATTCACGCAGTAAATAGTGTTTAGAAAATCATTGTCTCGTATTTGCAAAGGGGGAAAAAAACTGCATCCTTTTGTGATGCAGGTAAACTTTTATGTGCACTTTGTGTCCATTTTCTATTAAATAATATATTTGTGTTCTAACTGTAGGAAGTACACAGTGATTATCTCTCCAGAACAACGTCAGAGTTATAAAAACGATTTCAACGCAGAGTACAGCGAGTACCGGAGTCTGCATGCTCGAATAGAGGAAATCACCCGGCAGTTCACCGTGCTCGACAATGAACTCAAACAACTTCCACACGGCACAGAAAAGTACAAGGTACGAGTAATAAACAGAACTAAACCTTGTTAGTTTTTGTTTTTTTTGTACTGTTCTGAGTTTAATCCACCACACGCCTGTGTTCCTCAACAGACAATCCACAATCAGATACTTGAAGAGTATCATAAAATAAAAAAGGTAAGCGTTACCTTAAATGACTTTCACAGCAAATTATCAGAGTGGATTTTCAGACTTTGATGCTACTTTTTTTTTGTTTGTTTGTTTTTTACTTTTCCAGACTAATCCAAACTATAGCCAAGAGAAGAACCGCTGTGAATATCTACACACCAAACTGGCGCATATAAAGAAACTTATTGCGGAGTACGATCAACAGCAAATTTAAAAGTAGCTACTGGACACTTTTCCTGTTATCTCTGGAAACCAGGTGGATAAAGGAAAACTGCTTCCACTTCAATAAATGTGTTTTTCTTCATTATGATTTGGGGCAAAAATGCAGTAGAGGGGTCTAGACAGCATAGATCTGTTTTTACCTCTTTTCTCCCGTTTTGTTTTGTTTTTTTCTTAAGATTTGGCAGCACCTGCTGCGATCAGGTCTGAGTGTAGATAAAAGTGGATCCAGATTTTTTTTCTCGACAGCCCGTCTTGCCTTTAAGTGCAGAGGTCTGAGTCGCACGAGGACATTTTCAACTTTTCTGGACATTTTTTTCTCAAAAATCCTCCTTGCTTTTCAAACTGGAGAGAAAAGGCTCTGAGATTAAAAAAAACGTGCACCAAAAAAAGCATCTGTTTTGAGTTAAGAGAGTTTAACAAATTAGTTTTTGCCACACACTTGCATTCTTACGAGGTTGAACATCGTCCTTATTTATTTTGGACTTCATGGGAGGGTGGATTTATTTACACTCGATAAAATCCGTACTTTCAAATTTCTTATGTCCTCATCTTGAATGCCTGCCAGTATTTTATTCAAAAACTGCCTTTCTTGTGTAGTTATCCAAACTGTTTGGCTTTTTTTTTTTCTTTTCTTTTGAAAAGAATAGATTAGTGTTTGGGGAAGAAAAAAAAAAGAACGAGTCCGACACAAATTTTTGTGTTGGCTTTTCTAAAATTGTGGACATTAGTTTGCAGCCTCTCTGAAGCAGCAGTTTCTTTAAAACTGGTCTTCTCCCTGTCCTGACGAGCAGCAGCGTTCCTCGTCGGTCATCTCGTGTCGTCAAAATCAAAAGTATTTGACTCTGAAATGTTTGTCTTTCGAGCTTTGCTCACAATGGATTTTGTAGCTACAGAAAACCTTTTCTAGTCTGCCTTCATCAATCTATAAAATAATGAGATGAAGCATCGAGGGTGCAAACCTGCTCGTTTTTCCATCTTTAAAACGTTTATCCACAAATCTGTTTGAATTTGTCATCTTGTTCGGAAAGTGTCTAAAAACGGTATTTCGTTGACTTGCCCCTCTCGTGTCCGTTTGAGGCGACTGTTAAGATGAAGCCATCTTGGTTCTTCCTCCCAGTGAAGCCTGTTGGCGCTCCTCCACGGAGAAGGACCAGCGTTTGCCTTTTTAAATGCGATGTCACTTATTCAGAGTGAACAGACCCTAAAATCTGTTGCCTGCATCCGCTCCCCTGTCGGATCCCGTGAGCTAAAGGGCGAGTTGGATTGATCGACGAATGTATTTCTTATCTCGAGCTTTTTTATGTGAATATGAAAAAAAATCAGCACTTTTTCCTCCCGATCTTGCTGTTACTGAGACGGGGTTCATCCAAACGACACTTTATCTCTTTGTCCTACAGAATGCATGCTAAGTGATATTAGCACGGATGTTAAGATTTAATCCAGCTGAATGAGTATATCAATTAGACCTGGCTTTGACCAGCATGTGTACCGAAGTGCTTTACCAAACGTCGGCAAAGAGAGAAGCTGCAGTATTCTTTCCTTCCTGTTGTCATTTCCTCAATCTGAATTCAGACAAAGTTAGATCAAAGTATGTTTTCTGAAAACACTACGTTAGCTTCACCTCTTTAGCATGCAGAACGTCAGAGCTGAATGGAACATTTTGAAGAACTTGTCAACGAGTTCAGTCATTATTCTGCACATGGTTTCCCTAAACATCAACACGCTGTTGTAGAGCATCTCTGTTACAGTTCAAATCCATTATGAGTTTATGAGGAAGTGATATGAGCCAGTGAGGAGCAAAACTGTAAGGACATGCCAGCACAGTGCCACTGTATGAACTGATTGTGCCAAAATGACTTGATGTTGTTTTTGTTTTTTTTCCACAACTATGTAAATGCTGCTGTAAAAGCAATGAGGGCTTTGAAGGAGTCATAAAATGTTGGCGCTAAAATCCAAAGTATGTTCTTTTATTTATTTTTTTTTCTTTTGAAAACCATAAGGGACTGGGACTTAAAGTGATTTTAGATTCAATAAAATTCTCTCAAACCCTTATTTAGAAAATTACAAACGAGTTGTGCCTGTTCCTTTTTTTTTTTTTTTAAGCTTGATTTAATTTAATTTTATAGTTTTTCCAAAGGTCTCTTGAGGGGGGAAATGACCAGAACTGTCTATTTGTTTGACTTGAATGGTGAAAAATGATTTTATTTTTTTGTTTGTTTTATTTTGGGGCGGAGTGGGGCATGTCAGGACATTTGCAGAACAGTATTTTTAATATATATAAGTTTTAGTTTTAGCACAAGTGTTTTCATTTTTGATTTGTTTGTTCCTTCAGAAGGTGTAATGAAGACTTGTAGTACCATTCATGTATGCTAGATGGCAGCAATCTCCCAATATTCACCTATTTTGTTCCCAAAACAACCAGATTAAATAAGAGGTTGTATTTTCCCAGACTGCATGCTGTTGCATGATAAAATTAGAATTAATGATAGAATTAGGAGTCTGTCTGGTAGATTGACGTGGGGGCAAAAGCAGTAATTTTGTCTTGAGGGCCAGAGATGGCAGCATCAGCAGGAACTGTTTCAGCAAAACACAAGTCGAGGCTCTGTGTAATCTGACACAGATCCCAGAAATCTGCATGGGGACCAGTTGGCTGGGATGGACTTCACTGGGCCTGAGCCTTGTTGTGCTGGATCCCCTCCCAAAGCTGGCCTCAGGAAGGAGGAAGGAGGTGGGGCGGTCAGCAAGTTCACTGTGGCTGCCTGCCAACTCAACATACAGCAGCATATACATGTCAAAGCAGGGAGGCTGAGCTCTCCCCCCCACCCTCCCTCTGCTTTAAGGCTTTATTTTGGATTTCTGATCCTAGTAGAAGTGTCTGCTTACATTCGTACTCTGTGCAAACGGATCCACTCACCTTTGATTCATGGGATCGTTTGCAGCTTTTGTCGAGCATGCACAAAAAGCATTGACATTTCTTTTGAAGCATCAGTAAAATCTAAAATGTTTCGTGTGGTTATGGTTTTTAGGATGACCCGACTGTAAGACATCTGTGAGAAAACCCTCAGCTCCAGCACGCAGGTTTGGGTAAATCATTTTGGACAAACGTAACTAATGCAGCATGACGAATGTGCTTAAACACTTGTGCAAGCAGTGCTTCTCTCGGCTCCCAACATTAAAGGAGACTCAACTGTTGGTAAATTTGTTGCTATTTCAGTCATCTACAGTCAGGTTTTCAGGCTGTTTAGTCCATATTTTTACTGATTTAAACCATTGCTTTGTTAATTGTCCCCGTTACCTGACTGAAGGACTTTTAAAAGCCACAGTTGCTGATATTTGCTCTAAACCAGGCGTTGTATGGGGAAACAAACTTCTCTTATCTCCTCTTCCCCTGCTCTGGTTGTTTGCTTGGAAGTAACACACGCTTAGAACACACGTCAGAACTAAACATCTTTATTTCTACAGACTTGAAAATGAGTGCACAAGAGAGAATTGTATATATATTACCTGACATCAAGGGGCCCCCGTACAATACAATTTGACATGTCGTCAAGTCTGTTCCCACAGACTGTTTTCTCCACCCTGTGATACTTACTGTTTTAAATTTCTATCCAATCATTCGAGCACACATTAGCTGTCATCTCTTACAAATGAGTACATGACATACTTCTCTTTCCATTAGACAAATTTTAGCACCCACACATAATCTCACAATGACTGAGACTGATTTATCCTTTTGATAACTTATTACCTTATCAAGTCTTAGATTGCTTCTACGGTCATTCTGACCTATTAAGTTGTTCTTTAACTTATCATTAATTAGTTTATAATCCTCACACATGCTCAAATGACGTGATCTATAATCTAACTTTAAAGTTAATCTTATTTAACTGAACAAGAACCTTTGAGTTTCGGTTTCTCATTAAAGACCTTATAAGGAACTGTGAATAGTGAACAGCCATCAGTGTGCTAATGATCCATTGTTAGGCTGATGGTCCTTCTTGAGCATGTGATCAGCTGGTTTTGGTTGTCAGCAGCAAAACTGGTTGATCCACTCTGAGAAGGTGCTATTTAAGAGACTGAGCTGAATACAGCACCTCAGACTGAGGAAGTCTCTTGGATGAGAGACGAAACGTTTCTACATTTTTTTGTTTTGCTTTTTGTTTTTTTGAATGTCCAGAGGACCAGATTTAACTTTTTTAGATTTTTCTACCTGGATTATTGAGCATGCATCAGGATACTTATAAGGAACTATTTTCCTACTGACAGCAGAAAGTGTCATGATTGGTTTTAAAAGTTAGCAGTCATTAAAAATATATTTATCAGCTAATGGCCTAGTTTACACATCTGACGGATATTCTAGTCATATTTATATGATCTATGTTCTATAATTCGTAATTAAACCTTATATTCACCAACCCATATTATGTTATTTCCCACAATTTATCATCAATTATTTTATTCCTAACGGAGTCTGCAACCTTTATGATCAAAAGAGCCATTTCTGCCCCTTTTCACACTAAATTAAATAAAATTTAAATAATTTCCCTTTGGGATTAATAAAGTATTTTTGAATTGAATTGAATTGAAATAAAATGTCTATGGAGTCACACAACCTGCTAAAACTGTGATTATCAACTGGTGGCTCATGGCCCACTTCAAGCCTGTTGGAGGGGGCTTTTTCAGCTGTGATATGAAACTATAATGTCAAATTATAATTGATATTTTTATATTTTAGGGTAAAAGAAAAGACTGGATTTATGTAAAGAAGAAAAAAAAAAGTTTTTTTTTTTTTTTACCAGTTTTATAAAAATTCAAACACGAGTATGCAGGCTTATGTGAGTTTTCTTTTTAATTGTGGCAACTATTCATAAAATATACTATTCTGAAGCATAAAGTAAGAAAAAAAATTAGGGCAGTTTGTTGGAAACACAATTGACATTTTTAATGAAAATAAATACTGTACTTCCATTTACTTTTTTTTTTTTTTTAAATCAAGTTGACTCACCATATTTCTTCTCGGCAACTTGCCTCA